CACACACACACACAAACGAAACTTTATTAGCAAATTGCTCCTGAACCAATCAGCTGGTGCATGTGAAGAGCTCATCATCCTTCTACTCTCCCTCATTCTCCCTTCCTTCCTTCCTGTTACTTTCCCTCTCTTCCTCCTCCTCCTCCTCCTCCTCCCCCTTTCTCTTCCATGACATATCCCAAACAACTGCGTTTTCAAGGTTTGAAAGGGATATGCCACCTATCATACATTCCAGCCTTCCATCTCACCCATTCAAAGTATTTGCTTGTAACAGATGAATGTCGACAAAAGTCAGTTTATTTATAACATGCCACAGAACACACAACTTTTCTGTCATACTGTAACAATACGGGTGTAGACCCTTCCCATGCTACAGTACTGCCATATGATAATTACCTGTACATCAGCAGCCCCATAGTCCTCCGAGCTCTCATCATCGTCTGCATTGTGGATCGACAGATGCTCCACTGTCTTGTACATGTATGCACACACTCGTGTGTTGTCCGACAACTGTGATCCTGTACATCAGACATAAACCCCTCCATCCATCACACAAATTCACATTCAAAGTAACCCTAAAACTGATCTACATCATTGCAGCCAATACTGTGACATACTTCGCTGACAGTAATACAATGTCGTGCTTCATAAACCATATATAATTGTAGGTAACGTACAATTACACCGCCCCCTACCCACTAAGGGTTAAAAATCACAGTCTCCTAGTTGTCATGCGTGATTGAAAAAAAGTGTGTGCTGCTGATTAATTTCCCAAGCAGGGAAAATAATCTTGACTTTGAGGAGTTGGTTTTACGAATTCTGACAATCTAACTGCATCACTTCTAGCAACGAGGGAATTTTGTACAACATCTAGAGATGTTAAGATCAACCACACTGCTAAGTTATAACAACTAAAGTCTCATTTAAACTTGATATTTCCCTGTTGTTAGGACTCACTCATATGTGTTTAGGACAAACTGCACAGAAATTGGCCCTTTAATGGACCTTCCCCTANTAAAGTCTCATTTAAACTTGATATTTCCCTGTTGTTAGGACTCACTGCACAGAAATTGGCCCTTTAATGGACCTTCCCCTGGAGCAAAACAACTGGTAGAAATAACACCAAGTGAAACACTAGGAGAGAGAAAAAAGTCAGGAGAAACAGAGTTAAGATAATAGTAACCTTTCAAAGGGCCACTTTACAAGGGTAGGTAGGCAAAGCACTAACAGGGGAGACAGCACGTTCCTCCAAAACAGTGGAAATACCTGCCAGATTATAGGGCCATACATCCAAAAAACAGCAATCTTCAACAATTACTAGCCTCCATTTTGCATATCTGATTACCAACAACGTTCTTCCCCTAGAACAGTAGAAAACACAACTGCACTTGTTGTATTCAAAGAGATTACCTTGAGCATGATTAGCTATGGCCAGTATGAACACCAGGAGGGAGGTGTCCATCCTATGTGCAAGTGCTTCAGTCTTCTTGTTGCATATTACTAAGGTGCAAAGTAGACCTCCTAATGCTAGAGGTCAGAGGTCACTTGGTGAATAGTGTTCAGCCTGAAATCATAAGAGATGCCCTAGCTACATGGTCAATCATTCAAAATTGATGCTGTACTTCTAAGACCACTATCACCATTAACATCATCATGAATGATGACTATTCACTCATCAAGGTAACCAATACAGTATGCCTCTGCATTACAGAAGGAATGTGTTCTTGGAAACGTGTCCATATCATGAAAATCTGTAATGCGAACCCTACTTTTTGAATGACTGCAATGTTATGGAGGCATATCTCTACTGACATAGTGGTAACAAAAACACATTTTCTTTATGTAAATAATATGGGGATAGCAACCATGTCATGAGCCATTCCACTTGCATCACTGACATGTGTGCATATGCAATCAAAATTTATTTAAAACTAATTACTTCTTAAAACAGATAGACTGAATTTGATTTGGTTCATCCTGGTCCGTCATACTGGCAATATTACAAAAGGTTAATCAACTCCATAAACTTCAACTGATAAAATGTTTTTTTATTTCCTTTTTAATCTCTCATCCTTGACATGTTTCGGTCTCATAGGCCATCTTCAGATGGATATATCAATATGGGCAGAAACTACTATTACAATGTTTTTGGTCAATATCAAAACATCCACACAATATCATCACAATAACAACGCAGTGTGGTCCGAACAACAGGAGACACTAAAGAGTGCTATTCATCAAACAGAGGAACCACAAGATAGTAGACTCTCAACTTTCTTCAAAGAGAGTGCGCAATATAAAGGACATGAACCAAAATGGTTCTAAAAATTTTAACAAAATCTTTTTTAAACCACCCTTGTAATATGCACCCTTCTGAACTTTAGTAACTGAAGTACTCGGTGGAAATAGGTTAACATTCTGTCTGGTACCAATATTATGTACCTCCATATTTCTTGTAAACAGATGTATGTTATTTATAGTATGTTGCATCAAGGAATATATGTATTGAGAACACAAAGGTAGAATTTTCATTTCTTTAAAAGAGTCTCTACATGAATCTCTTTTCTTTAATCCCATCATAATCCTTATAACTTTCTTGTGGATCATAAAAAGTTTTGTCATGTATGAATAACTGCCCCAGAAGATAATTCCATATGTCATCACAGAATGTATATAAGCAAACTAATCATTCTTAAGCTACTAAATGATATCACAGGCTTAAGTGTTCTCATGATAAAGCAAGACGAACTCAATTTAGTAACAAGGCAATCAATATGATTCTTCCAACACAGCCTGTTATCAATATTTAGGCCTAAAAATTTGATACACTCTAAGTTAGTCGGTAAATTTTGATCAATATTATTATGCATATTATGATCCTCATAGTTCATTTAAGTGAACTGGAGAGTGTGGGTTTTATGAATATTTAATTTTAACAGATTGGTTCTGAACCATGTATTAATACTGCAAAATATTCTGGTCATGGTTGATTTGTAGTCGGCGTATTCCGGATTAGTCACTATTACACTTGTATCGTCTGCATATAAGAATATGTTTGTTCCATTAATTGAAACCTTAGTTATGTCATTTATATACAAGAGGAAAATGAGTGGGCCAAGAATTGAACCTTGGGGTACACCAAATTTTACTTCTGCCCAACTAGACGAGCTATTAAATAGAACTGTTAGAGCCAAGGGTTACTCTTTGATATCTTCCATTCAAGTAAGATTTAATTAAGGCACCAAACTTGCCAGTTATTCCATAAAACTCTAATTTTCTGATAAGTATATCATGACTGACACAATCAAAGGCTTTGTGTAAGTCACAAAATATTCCTCCAACAAACTGTTTATTATTCATTGCTTTTAGTATTTCCTCTACCGATTTTAAGGGTGCTTTTTCTGTATATGAATTAGGTCTAAAATGATAATGATTATTATTTTTTCCCTTTTTTATTGTATTTTATTGTATTTTTATTTTAACACTGTATCCAATCTATTGTACAGCAGTTCAATAGTGTATGTTTGTTGATATGTGTTTGCCTGATGATGGCCGTTAGTGGCAGAAACACATAGTGAAGCCCTGATTTTTTCTATTTGTTGTGTTTTGACGGTCTATAAAAGAGTTGCATATTGATTATTGTCCAATATATGATTACTGTCTATATGTTCATACAATTTATTATATATAACCCTTTCAACATCTCAGAAAATGCTGACAACAATGAAATATGCCTATAGTTGGCTGGTTCATATTTATTGCCACTTTTGAAAATTGGCTTAACCACCGCAAATTTCAATCTGTCTGGAAACGTTCCCTGGGCAAGGGATTGATTACAAATGTAAGTTATATGTAAGGAAAATACGTGTACTCCAAGACAGTTATCTCTGTACATACTCCAAACTGGAGAACCCCTTTCCTGTCTTGTTAACCATCTGGAACCACAACATAATTTTTCCTCTAACAATGCGTCATCACGCAAGTTGACCTGGCATTTCGGAAGTGCCCAGATTGAATCTCAGATGGTACACTAATTAATCTCAGCAATAGTTTTCATGGTTTTTGTCACCTCCTCAAGATAAACGCTGATACAGTCCCTTCAATTGTGCCACGGCTATTTCTTTGCATATCGAATCCAATTAATTACTCACGAATAATCCTAACATTTAATACTATATAGCTTCCAGTATTGACAGCATCATTAAATGAACCATAAATAAAGAAACAGTTGTACTGACTAGTATCACATAACAATGTATTACATCCCTGCAGCATATCAAACTGGAGGACATGTAAAATTAGGCTCTCTTCCTGAACAGTGCATGCATCCAGATGCAAAACCTCTTCTACCATCCGTACAGCAAGCCTCAATGATGTTGCACATGTTAAGTCTGGCCACATCCCAGTAACCACTGGTTCCTGAAGTGAAAACCAAATGACTGTTGCTTTGCAGCAGAATGACTGCTCTATGAGTAACGCTATGGTCCATGAGGTTCCTAAACTGCCTAGACTGTTCACAATTCAAGAAATATCCCATTACATCCATTATTGTTGGAAACACCAACGCATGCCCTATCTTTGGGAGCAAATGGAATCCAGCCACATCTTTCACACTTGTCAGGTGGGCACAAAGCATTACAAAAAATAGAAATCAACATACCAAAAAAAAAAATGGTAATTGAAAAGGTTGGCCCCCCAATTTTCAATCAATTTGACTTAGAAGACACAGCCACCTAATATAAAATTTCTTTCTGTGGTTTGGTTCTAATTTTCTGTTAAACAAATGGTCTAGCCAAGCTAACATACCCATATGAACATACAGAACATCAACACTTACTGTTCTGTCATCATGTATGTAAGCAAGTGGTCATGACCAGGAGCAAAAGATGGCCACATTGAAAGGGTACCTCTAGACAGCAGCACCATTTAATGTATACTGCTGTTCTATCAAGTCCTGTACTTTAGTACAAATCTGGCTGTTTGCTGAGAACTTTTAAAGTTCACAATGAGTATATTTTCTGAAATAATAATTTCAGAGTATCCCTCAAGGGCTGTAATGTGCAAGGGTGGACCACAGTCAAATGAGTATGGTGGGGCCATGTGTGATGTTGATAACTGCAGCAATTTCCAATTGGAATTCTGAGGGGTTTCATGCTAGTCTTACATACCAAACCCACATTTACAATGCTCTACACTCCTCTATCTCAAGTCTGGTTGCCAGATTATCATAAAAGAATTTTATAATGCATAAAGAGATTTATGTCTGTGTCTGTATCTGTATCTTTATCTCAATTCTATAGATCCTTACTGGCTACCAAAGCCATTAGATATAGAACATTACTTCTAAACACAGAACTAGTCACCTTCCAACAAAATTCATAAAAGGAACAACAATTATAAATAATTCACTGACATAATGTCAAGTCATGTAGGACTCATCAACTTGAGTAATAGCTGATTGAGACTATAGCTTAAATATATAAACAAATATCAGATTATAATCAATTAATTTATACAATGTATTATATAAACAGCATTATAAATGGTTTCGCTTCTTTGAAATTGCTGAATCCATAATCAATATCACATGCTCTGGCACCAGATGATACAAGACTGGTCAGTGCGAATATACATTAATAATATGAGACTTTACATTCCCTTTACCATGATCCATGTATTATATCCTGCACCAAATTTTGACTAGATATAATACATACAGCATGTCCAAGCTCCCAACAGTTCTCCAGTGCATTAGTTGATGATATGTGAGGTACTGTTGTCTTACCACGTTAACTGTTCAAAATTGTATTCTTCAGGAAAAGAAAAACAAAGCTCCCTAAGAATTTGTTTCTTTAGGCTGAAGTTCGATTCTCTGTTGTGACAAATGCCATTCTGAGATTACTGATGGTCTTCCTCAATTCCTTCACTCAAATGCTGGGACAGTACTGGAGTTTTAATTTTCACATTTCTTCATGTAAAACTGTAATTCCCTGGATAATTATCCAACGGTCAGAATTCTAAACAGGAAAATAGTAAATGGCATATAATTATTAAACTCTCAAGGCAATTTATCTGAACTGTACAACAGGTGCCATATTTTCATTCCCCACCATTGCAAGCAGCATAATTCCATCCCCAGAAAATTAATCTACGTAAAGTCTTACATGCACTGTGCCACAACAGATTAAAATCTCATTCACTGTGAAATGGATTGAATTGGTTACTCTGTTGGGGAATTTATGTTGTCTTAAATTTTTAATATAGTTTTATATGGTATGTTGGACATGTACACAATTTGTGTAGTTAAATATTATAGTACTGTTGACTTTTATACAAATAATTTGACTTGTTCTATATCTGGAGGCTGTATTGCAAAATGTGGATTTCTGGAAGCAATAAAAATATGAATACAGTACCTCGGCCAACAAAATGTTTAACTGAAATCCATTACAACATACAAGTAACTGTGGCAAAGGGGTGGAATGAAATCCTGTCATGAGAGCGTACGTGAAGAAACGCCGATTTAAAAACGTACACACAGAGAATGTGGTGATGTGACAACATATTCAATTCACTGACATAAATCAAATTACGCTTAGCAGGCCTATACTGTGACAGCTCCGCAACTACAGTACGTACTTCTATGTATAGGCCTAAGAAACACAAGATATTCGACAGACTTAACAATGCTAAACCTAAACACATTTGAAAATAATGCACTTGTAAGGTAAACTCGCCATACAGCTATATTTTTCTGGGTTGTTACTACAAGGAACAAGCTAAACCGCCGTGAAATGGCATGCTGTTGATTAATTTACTGAATACGGCAAGCCTACATACCAAGAAGTAGGCTATCGCACGCAGGTTTCAAATTTTCCTGCGAAAGAACAATACAAGATACAGGTTCAAAATAACCGACTGTCAAGCAAAGATCGTTCACAACTTATAAGACGGCCCTTTCAGTGCATTTATTTCATTCTTAACTAAAATGATCACAAAAGAAGCCAACTTACTACACGAATTGTTACAGTAGTTGCATGGTCTTGACACACAAAAGTTAACTGCGAGAACTGCACTCGCGCGATCAAAACATTTAAAGTGAAACGACCGCACAAAAAAAATGAACTTGAATACCTATTCCCACCACAACACACAACAACAGACCTATAAACGACGAAACTCCTTGCATCCACTACCGAGACCTGTCGAATCGAATCCCACCCCCTTAACGAGATGAAATGAACGCTTCCACAGCACGGAGCCGTCGGACAGGTCACGTGATGTCTGCATTGGTCGGCGCCGCTGCCTTTTGCAACTGATCACTTCGTTTGTTTCAATAGTAGGCGTGAAATAAAGAAGGCAGTGGAACAAATGTCATGATCAAGGTGCAATAATAAAAAGTAGCATGGCAAATTCCACCAACATATTAAAACAAATATACCTACTGAGTAATCGAATTCGCGGAGCAGAGTCCTTGAGAAAACCTTGAGAAGCTAATGATGACCATATACTCCGCCTTCTATACAAGTCGGGCATTGCTCCCAGATGAGAACCCACAATAATTACATCTCATTTTGTGTTAACTATCCAGAACATGGAAGAACCCCACACCAATAAGATGTTAACATTTGAAATGCTTAAATGAAGCATTAGGTCACATTTCCCCAGATAAATACGGTAATTAGTAAAAAATATTAGCCTGTCCAGGAGTTATGCCAAATGTTTAACCCTCAAATTACAATAGGAAAATAGTAATCTGTATTACTGAATGAAGTACAGTTGTATATTTAGCTTATATGGCTTATAAGTAAAATCGTCTCATTCATACAACATTTTTGATGGTTGTACAACAAACCACAATGTGGAACTTAAAATTTCTTAATTCTCTACACTAGGAACACCAATTTTTGCTTGCCTGATCTTGCCAGCAAGTGTTGCTTGGATCTACCCTTGCAATCAACTATACTTTCTGCTGTTCTCACGATCATGTCACTTTCTTTTTGACCATTTACCACACTGCATCCAGTTTGGTCCTCAATTTCTTTACATTATTTTGTGAGAATTGTAAACTGACAGAAAATCGCTTTCCTTTTCAGGGTTTTGAAGTATATAAAAATATCAGCATCCTAACACGAAAAACATTGCTAAAATTTATCAGAATGTAGCTGAGGTATAAAAGAGTCCCCACTGGTAATTCAAGGGTAACGGAATTTGCCACTTCAAAATTTATTCTGAACTGGAACATGCCATGCTACCTTATCTTTGATGGCTCACGATGAACTTCCAACACACAGATACTTATTAATGTTGCCTGTGCAACACTTCTCATTAGACCTTAATCCTAACATTCACTTAAAATTCATACAGGTGCAACTATTATCAGCAGTTCTTCAAGTTCCAACTTTATAACAGTAAGCCAGGAGTGTAGGCTAATTTTAAAAGAAAACCATTTTATCTTGGGTGTTGAACACCAGGGTCATCCCACCTAAAGAATATATAAATTAGAGTACTTACCTTTTTAAATGGACTTAGCAGTTCAAAACCCATTATGTCAGATCATAATACAACAGTTAAACTTTGATGATAAAGGACAAAACAGAATGCAAGCATAAGTAACAATTTTTCTTGTTCATTTATTTACCAATTCATTATTAATGTAACAGTTTATGTCAAATTGCAGGATGTCACTAATAGGGAAAGGTATATAAGTAACCATAGTCTGCTTAAAAAGTTACTATGAAAACCTCAATTAGGACAGCTGTTCCCTGGATGAAGATTTGAATCCAGGACCTCCACCATATGGAGTGCTAACCTATAAACTGCATCATTCAGCTTCTGTATGAGACTTATGATCAGTAACAGAAGCTGCATTATAGCAGTCAGCTTGGTTTCAGTAATTCTGTTCGCTCAAGCAAGCATTTCTTATAATGACAGCTCTTTCAACACTGACACCAAAACAAGCAACTGCAAGAATAAGCTTATTGCTTCACTGGCTTAGATAAGTACTGACTTTGGTAAGATACTATTTAATTATGGAATATGAGTGCATTTCTTTTATTTGTTACAAATCTATAAACATTTCTTTATAAGTATTTATAAAAGTCAGGCAAGAGCATGAAATGGACCTAATTCATGATATCCAGAAAGACCACTTTGAACAAGAAAATTTCGAGTTTTGCTCCATGCCCAATTCCATTAAGGAACTGAAGAAGTGTGTCTGTGTCTCCTTGCTTGCTGTTAGTGCACAAAGAAATAATATGAGAAAATTATTTACATTGGCACATGAAATCTTGTAATGTTTACAATGTACTGTAAGCTGCGATGTGATGCTATGTAGCCTGGTACATGTTCGCTGATCTTTCAAAGCAACATACTGCCTCTTTCTTGAGGGTGAAAGAGCAAACAACACTCTGGTTGTTGCCTGCTCAGCTTAATTTTCAGTTCTAATGACGAAGACAATGTGTTCCCTTGAAAAGTTAGCAAACTTCTACCAGACTACACAACTTCACATTCAATCAGATCTTCATAATCACCACTGTGAAACCCTCAAATCCAACTTGTCATGATTAATTTTATTTCAGGAATGTGTCTTATCACCCTTAAAGGAAATACTGACAACTCAAATAACGCTAAGAAAAGGAAAACATTATTCTAAACTGTTGGAAGTAAATTCCATGCACTGGATATAAAAAGAAAATCTTAAACATGGCACAGTAATCATAAAACAGAGCCTGTGGGAATACACTATATATGACAAAATAAATGATATTAATTATGGCCTAATTCATAAAAGTACAAAGTACACAAGCTATGGCAGTAAACAGCTTAGGTTACTGTGTTGGAAAGACATCCTGTGAGACATCCTGTGATTTGTAATTTCATTGTAACAAATACACACTTTGTCATCATTTGGAATTGAGATGGACAGTTGCACTACTGAAAACCATCGCATGGCAGTATAAAGACTTTTCTCACAATTCTACTTGATGCTGCCATATGGCCACCAAATGGAGCACTAACAAAAGTTTCTTCAAAACATAGTAAAAACATATATCCGTATTTTAAGCTCAGGGACTGAGAAGGTTATGGAAGGGTAATACGAAAATGAATCCTTGGTGGGGGGGGGGGGTAGACTTGTTATTGAACTTTCAAAAAATAAATTTCAAAAACATACAAGTATTATTAAAAATCCTTTTCCTTTGTTCATTTACTAGAAACATAAGGAAGAACTGTGTCTTCTGGGAAGTGAGAGTATGTAGTCTGGTACACCATTAGCAATATTTCTGAAGAGCCTGCTGCCTCCATCTTCAGGACAGAAGAATAAGCCACATGTGGAAAAAATGGTACAGATATACAAAGACATGAAACTGGGGTGGGGGCCTGGCAAACTAAGAGGAGTAACCACAGGTAAAGTTGGTAAAACTGTCCCTGTACTTAAATAATTAAGCACTATGCCATGAAGGCGTATGGGGGAGTGGATGTATAGATCCACATTTTCTTGACCTCAGCACTAGCTGGAGTTTAGTGGACAGTTTCACGTCCCGGCCGCTTTACCCCCTGGTAAAGAGCCCCCAGTATCCATTGGATAGGAGGCTGGGTGGACCATAGAGCTGGTCTGGACAACTTGGAGATGAGAAAATTCTTGACCATACTGGGACTCGAACTCTGAAACCCCCTGGCTATCCAGTACATACTCGTAGATAATTGCCATACCGACTACCCTATCCCAGCTTCTAGGAGTAAGAACAACAGGTAAAAATCATTTGCCCTTTAAAGGGCCGTTTTCTAAGGACAGAGTGAATGGGAGTAAAGATTAGGCACTAACAGAGGTTAAGTCAAAGGGCAGGGCAGGGGAGAAAAGGGAAAGAGTAGCGGAGAGAAAATACAACGACACACTCTCCATTGTCAGATATAAACGAGACCCCTTCTAGGCCAGTAAAAGATGTACACTGCAAATATTCCCACTTTTAAGGATTACTGTCAAATTTATAGTAACGCTGGTAGTGACACGCATTTGGAAAGTATTAACATGTTTGCATTAGCAAATTATTACCAAACATCTGAAATCATGAGGGTTACTGTCTGCTACAATGTGACACCATGTGAATGGGTAGAAAGTTACCAACATTTAGGAGGAACTCGCTGCCTCCATCTTGCATCCTCAAGTGGTAGAAATTATAAAAACTCATCTGAAAAGAGGGTACTTTTTACCATTTGACAATGGTGATGCAGTGAAAAATAATCTACAATGAATATGGAGCACCACAAAAACCTAAGACCACATGTACTTTCCAAGAGTTTTAACCACAAACAATCTGTATGCATTTTATGTCTGCACTTGCAGAAATTATTTATCTCATAATAGTCATTATACACAGCATTACATTGTGTTATATCTACTAATTTTGATCAAATAGAATTTGTATGCCTTGCACTGGTCACTGGGCCAGCAGAAGACAAATGCTTTGTACTGATGTCCTAAATGTGTCACAAGCATTAGGTTTTTGGAGGGTGACACACCAAAATGTATGACAAAGCCCACAGCCGTGAGAAAGAGCATATCTGTACCACTGTCCCTGCCAGTGTCACCATTCTCAGGGCTACAGAGTTCTGAAGACTTACAAACTAATTCGTACTTCGTCATTACTCATGATACAACTAAATATTCTGGTGAAACTACAGTTACTTGTACCAAATGATTCACAGAGTGCAGAGATTACTACTCAGTGGTTGCTTTTCACACTGGAAGCACAAATTTCATGCAATATAAGAGGATTCACCCACTTCATTAGCTGCAAAAAACGGAGTGTATAAGCTTTGTAACGAAGATCATAACAATGTTTGATCAAGAGATCCACCATTTTCAGTCTTGGAACCACAACAGGCAAGAAGTGGAACAATTACACTGATGTAAGCAGGCTGAAGCAAGCTTATGAAAGGTTACATTTTCATAGTACAATACTGGTTCTAAGGATCTGACAACACTGTTTCATATGAGAGTTTTAACCGTATCCATGAATACACAGTACAAAATAAAGTGATGGTGACATATGCATAAAAAGCCTTAGTTCAAAGGACCATCATGCTAAACTGCTGTAAAATACAATTCTGAAATAAAGATTTGAAAGAAATTCATAATCCTAATTAACAGGTAACTGAATTGAAATTTTTGAAGAAGCTGGAATTCAACATTTGTTAATGAAGTTAGAACTGTAATTATTACAATGGTTTGGACACATAAGAAGAATGGATAGAACAAAAATACAGAGGATACTAGAATTAAAATTTAAAGGAAAGAGATGTATGGGATAACCATGGATACGACAGTTTGACCATGAACTAGTACATACCAAGAAGAGAGTGCGGAGCTGGCAAGAAATAAAGAAAAAAGTCTATGGGACTACCGAAGAGATCACAGACTACCAATGCACATAAAACAGGAGTGATGTTATACTAGGACTTCAGAACTTGGCAACAAAATTTAATATACTAGAACCACCATTTACTCTTCCTTAATTTAAAATTTTCCCCTCATTTAACATTAAATTTCAATCATCCAAGTCAATAATTTTATTGTTAAATTTCCTCCATATCAAGGAGGATGAGGTGGGCAGGGCATGTAGCATGAATGGGAGAGACGATGAATGCATATAGGATATTGGTGGGAAAGCCAGAAGGAAAGAGACTACTGGGAAGACCAAGGCATATGTGGATGGACAATATTATAATGGACCTTTCGCTTAGTGGGGGGTGGAGTCCAACTGGGTCCACTCGGCACAGCAGCCACTCATTGGCCTATTGTAGCCTGCCCCAGATGATTATGATGATGGAGAATTTGGTGGAATGAAGATTGGCAGGGTAAACTGAAGTACTTGGAGAGAACCCGCCCCGGCGCCACTTTGTCCACCATAAATCCCACTTGACCAGACCCGGGATCAAACCTGCGCCATTGCGGTGGGAAGCCAGCGACTAACCACTTGAGCTACAGCATGGCCTATTTAAACATTATGTTGAGGATCTTAAAGGTAGGAAATTTATTACTGACATTTATGACTCAGAATCACTGAAACTGAATGTCAAACAAGGAGAACCTTAAATCAAGGAACATTAAATAGGAGTTCTATTATATATTCAGGATGTTTTCAGGAGAATAAATAATACTGTTGCATATCCACAGCTGGCATAAGGACTGTCTGATGCAAAGTTCAACAGAAGGCATAACAAACAACACTATACAATTACTATGAAAATGGAGATTTCTGTTGTATTTATTCAATCTGAAATGAGGATCTATACAATTCATTATAAAGTTCTCACCTCTATTAATGTAACTACAAAATACCAAATGTCATAGTTCAATTGTTGCCACACATGCTTCATATTTCAGTTCAAATTTCAGGGAGAGAAGCTATCATAAATGAGGTTCTCTGTGACTTCTCTCAGTCCCTCCAGATAAATACCTGGGTAGTTCTTGAATTATGCCACACCCAGTTCCTTCCAAATCCTTTCCAATTCACTATTCACTAGTCACCTCAATATTCAACACTGTATAATATTAGTGAACTGAAGGCATCATTAAATGAATGATCAATAAATAAAAATATATACCTAACTCGGAGGAAACTGTTAACATTTATATAGTGAATACATGGGAGTCAGATTCATGTCTGAAAATGGCAAGAGATGGGACATGAAACCCAGTCGCTGAAGTGGGTGCATCCCCTAGTCCATGCTGGATGTGATGGCACACTGGAATGGTGCATCTCACTGCACATATGCAGAAATGTAGGCAATCAATTTATTAACGACATGACAGACAGATGGCAGCAACGCAACTCTGAATCCATGTAACAACAATAAAATTCATATCAATTCTGGAATGTCCTACTTAAGTTATATCACAACTTACTTCATGGTTCTCAGAGATTGCAAACTACCAATTATTGTCTTCTGGGATGTATTGCCCTGCAGTGTCGCAGAGGACCCTGTTGTCCTCATCTTCAGGACAGAAGACAGAAGATGCAGGATCCTGTGGAACAATGATGATAAACCAGACTACGTCATCACATCCCAGAAGACAGCAGTCTTCATACGTCACTGCAGTGGGAACCCTGAATATTGAGTTCACACAATTAATTTATGGCCAAATCATAACGCTTATTCATTAAAAGGTCAGGTCATGTGGGATTTGCAGCAGACAAAATTGCACTGGGGTGGGTTTTCTCTGAGCATTCTGGTTACCCTTGCATATTCTAATTCCACTAACTGTTCCACATTCATTAACATCCTATCATTGATGCTATATTGTCTATATACTGTCATAATCATTAAATAACATACTTAAAAGGATTCTTAAATTTGTGAGCTGAATTCTAATATAATAACTTCATAGCTACACAATTTGAAATACAAAAAATAAATATATATAAATAAACTGCTTTAAAGTTTTGTGAAGAACTGAAACTGCATATAACCTTCTGGATTACAAAAGTTTAATTAATTCCATTCAGTGTGACTGATGAAGTTTTTTGCTTTTTAATCTTTTATCCTTTACATGTTTCAGTCCTACGGGTCATCTTCAGTCTGCAGGACAGAAACATGTAAAAGATAAAAGATTAAAAAGGAAAAAACTTCATCAGTCACACTGAACGGAATTAATTAACTTTTGTAATATAATTGGTGTGATGGACCAGAATGAAACAAATCAAACCTTTTGGATTTTTTCAATTGACCTAATCCTTCCAGCTATACTATGGCCCTGGGGTCAACTCCACCTCTAACAGAAGGGAGTACTAGGAATCTTCCTGGGGGATAAAGGGCGCCCAGCACATAACATTGATAACCTTGCAGCCATCTGTGAGCCGAATGTCTACAGAAAATGTGGAGCCTCAACATCTCACAACCCTATGGGCCTGCACAGCCTGTTACAGGGATAGCATTTTACCTTTTACTATAATTTATGAGCTAATTCAAACATAAATTTTATCAGTGTTCTATAATGTTTAATATCTTCATAATACATGAATTGAGAAGGTATCGTGCTGCTCCATTATCTGTCATGTACCTAACAAACTCTCCTACATGCTAAAGGTCAGTCACATTAAGTACAGGTGCAGTCATACTGGGTGTGTCTTGTCTGGAGTCTGTTTGCCTGCCATGATTGACTTGATATCTTCAGCATCCAGAGTTTCATACTTGAGCAGCGCTTCGGCCAGCATCTTGTGCTCACGCTGATGTGTCTTAAGAATGTTCTTTGCTCGCTCATAAGATTCCTGAAAATAAACACTCGGAGGTAGTTCAGACATGAAGTTCTCACATACAAAGTTTAAATGTAAATTGATTTCAAAGTCATAACAAAGTAGAAACATATTGGATTCAACGTTTTCATGGTGGTCATTATGAAGAGTAATCTGGGTTGTAAGGCTGTGTAGTTTGGAGACAGCTAGAAACATTTATTATGTTTTTGGACATTATCCATCGTCTTGTCTATATCTAAAAAACCGTCCTGTTTATTTTCAAAACGCAACGTTTCGGAGACTGGTTTCTGTCTCTGTCTTCAAGCAAAACCTACTCAGTTGGGCATAGCAGATAGAGCTAGTCTCTATATCTGGAGAGGTTCAGGTTTTACCTGAAGATGGGTACAGAATCCAGTCTCTGAAACGTTGAGTTTTGAAAAATAAACAGGACTCTTTTATAGATACAGACATGACGGATAATGCCCAAAATAATAATAATTGTACCAATGTACCATCGCCAGAGACTTTTAGATCTTAGCTAGACACATTCTTCTGCTAATTTCTTGCTGGACTTACTCTTCAATCTTGAAGATGGTGGCAAGACGTTCTTTCAAAATGTTTGGCTCTGTCCAAACTACACTACTTTACAACCCCTTCACAGCAACATATTATTTACTTCATTTTCTTGTAGTTTAAGATGAAGCTGTCTATAACCCAACAATATTTACCATTCACTGACAGGATAAGAGGAAATACTGAGTTTTAAACACTATCCAAGGAAGCCAGCATGAAATAATTTAAGGTATTACACTGGCATCTTCAAAAAGGGACTAAGGAAACCTAAGTCAGGATAGCTGGAACCCAAACCCAGATTCAAACTGGGAACCTCAGGAATATAAGTCAAAACTGGTACCGTATGAGCCTCCTTGCTTGGTAGCTGCATGATGCGCCACTTTTACATACAAGCAGTCACTAATTAATACATTTCCACTGATCTCATAAGCCCCCTTTCATTTTTTCAAAACAATCACCTACTTTCCTATGATAGGGCATGTGGTAGCATAGCTGGTTGAGGCACTATGCTACAAGCCAGAAGGTCATGGGCTTGATTCCTGATGAGGTCAATGGATTTTTCAATTGACCTAATCCTTCCAGTAGCACTATGGCCCTGGGATTGACTCAGCCTCTAACAGAAATGAGTACCAGGAATCTTCCTGAGGGCAAAGGACGGACAACATGTAAGGCTGAAAACCTCACCGCCATCTGTGAGTTGACTGTCTAGAAAATGTAGAAGCCTCGATGTCTCACAACCCTATGGACCTCCATGGCCCATTATAGGATTATCTTTACCGTTTTACCCTTTACTTTCCCATGATATGACACGAAAAACAGACAAAAATTGGAGGGGGAGATCCCATCAGTCTCCTTTTATTTTTTCAAAATAAGGGAAGTAGGCTGACTGTGTATAAACACTGCAATACTTACTGTCATTATCCTTTTTATCTCTGAGTCAATCAGTTCGTTAGTGCCTGGACTGAGCTCGTTCACCACCACAAAGCCCGAGTTGTTTCCATCATGAGTCCGCAGCCCCACTCTTTCAGACATTCCCCAGTCCTTGACCATGTGAATGGCAATTGCAGTGGCTTGCTGAAAACACAGAGTAACACCACAACACAAGCAATATATTAATCTTGTTCAGTAAGCTCACAAAAACTCTGCAGGCATTAATATCAAACAGTGAACAAAGTTCTCTTCAGGAAATCAGCTGTATCTGTGCTATATTTATATACAGAGTGATTCATGAGGAGTTACAGCCACTTATGTAGATCATTTCTGAAGGCATTTTGAGCAAAAAGTGTCATATAAACCTAGGTCCTATACTCAATATTTAGAGAGTTACATTCGTAATTGGAAACTCACTACTGTGAACTGCAAGTGGTCTTCGCCAATGTAAGCACGTGATGTGTCTGCAGCCGGTTATTAGGGTAGACGCAGTTAGTGCTCATGTAGTCTGATGGTTGCCTTTGGTTGTGAATGTTGTGTTACAATGCTGCTATGGAAATCAGAGATAACAGTGTGCACCTATGTAGAGCAATGTGGGCAGTTCACAAATGTGCGGACAAGTGTATCAAAGTGGAGGGCGGCATTTTTGAAAATATGTTGTAATCTCTGTAAGACTTTGCAAAATTGAACTATAGAGAATCAAGTCCACACAATTACTTTGTTTTTGTGACAATAAAGGCATTAAAATATAATGTAATTTTGTATTTAAAATTAAAATCAAAATTTAGAAACCTTCAAATTATGAATGTAACTCTGTAAATATTGAGAATAGGACTCAGGTATATATGACACTTTTTGCTCAAAATGTCTTCAGAGATGAGCTCCATAAGTGGCAGTAAGTCCTCGTGAATCACCCTGTATAAGACTATCATCCTATCAAACTGCATGGGGAGGGAGTGGGTCAAGTCAGATGGTCAGTGATGTCCTGTCATATCATAAATTACATGAATCATGGATGTGATGATGGAGACACACAGTCTCTGAGACACACGGTGGAAGTCAAAGTAGACAGTGCCTTCCAAAAACGCTGACTACCTGCATATTCTACCTAACTCTCCCTCCTATAATAAATATCTCCAATGGTTTTCAAACATTCTTCAATGATGTATGTGTATACACAAAATGATACAACTAAATCTAATGAATACAAAAATCATATGTTGGAGTTTGAATGTAACAATACTTTGCATTCTGTGGAGCTAATGCCATCAGATGCAATGAATATGTCTCAAAAGCAGACTACTGTCTTTTGGGTCATGACACAGTGTAGATTTGTGGAAGTTTACCCGACATTTCTAAAAAAAAATGCTGACCCCACCCTCAGCTCACCTTCCCCTTGAAGATAGTGACAGCATGTTCCTACAACATGTCAGTAAACTTCAACCAAACCACATGGCATTATATCCCAGAAGACAATAATCTTTATAATCACCGATAAAAAACCTAGAATCTCAAGCCAGCTCAATACACTTTCCATGTGTAAAACACATTCTTGTCAGTTAAAATTTTTGAGTAGGGGATATCATTATGACTTCATGCATCAGAAAAACTGGTGAGCTACAATGTTGTGACTGGTGTTTCGAGTGCTGAGTTAAAAGATGAATTGATGCAATGGAGCAATTTGGAGCAATTTAAACTTAATGCTCTATTCTGCCAAACACAATGAAAACAACACTGTATGAGCGGTGATTAACTGCTGCATGCATGCAAAAACAAAAAGGGAAATTTAATATAAATATATCATGGTGAAAGTCATGACAGTTCAGGTTGGTAGGTGCCAGATTTCAACCTGGAGGCTAAGGTTGAATCCTGGGCGAGTCATGGTGGATGAAGTGAGTACTGGAGCAGATTTGCCTCCGAGGTTCTTCAGTTATTCCTTCCTAACCATCATTCCATTACTGTTTCATAGTAATATACTATGATCCAAAGCAGTGTAGCCCTGACCAGCACATTATCATATCCTAGATCATTAACTCTGGGGGTTTGTCTCTGACCCAGCACTTGGCTGATTACACAATAAGAGACCTCTACAATTTTTGGTAGTAACATAGACAAAGCAACACAGAGGTCAGTGGCTGACATGTTGGGCAGCTCAGGGCACTCTCACCCTCATCCTGACTTTATCTCACCACTCTGTCATGTTTTAACCACCTTCAGATCACTAGAAGCTCCAGATGTGATCTTCTCTGGACCAAACACAAGTTCCTCAGCAGCCCGGCCACCCATCATAGTATCCATCATGGCCAGCAGCTGAGACTTTGTAACATGGTATCGCTCCTTCTCGGGTATGTAAGCCGTCTGTAACACAGAATAGAGAAAAATTCAGGGTGAGACTCAGGAAACAACCTCAAACACCCTTTTTTCCTTCATACTCTGAGGACTGGGGGACAAAGTTGCTCACATCCATGATATTCTTTAAGTCATAGGGGCCCCCAGGGTAGTGCAAAATGAGCAACAAGCCTGGCAAAGCTTCCCAAAAGAATTTGAGTGCTCTCTACTCAGAAGCAAGAAGCAAAATGGGTTAAATAATCCCAAAAGCAGCCACTGGAAACCAACCAACCAACGAACTCTGAGGACTGTTCAAATGACACGTGTTCAGAGGCTGTTCAGGGCAAAGGAGCAGAGGCCCATAGGGTTGTGAGATCCATGATTTATTTAATCCGTCTTGCAGTGCATACACTCATTTTTCTCCTTCTCTCCCTCGCACTACATGTTTCGGCATAATAATGCCATCTTCAGGTGCTTACTTATCCACGTCAAACCAGTTCATTGCATGCNATACCCAGGAAGCCCAACAGTATAACACACGCAGTCGCAGGAGCACGACACAACAAAACCACAACACACAAGATAGTGAAGGAGTGCTCCAACAAAGGAGAATGGGCGTGACTGACGTAGTGAGGGGCGACGTAGCGATGTGGTATCCTGAACAATTTTAATATTTTTAACGTTGGACAATGTATATGATGGATACATATTTTGGTTATTTTAATGTGTGAACATGGCATGCAATGAACTGGTTTGACGTGGATAAGTAAGCACCTGAAGATGGCATTATTATGCCGAAACATGTAGTGCGAGGGAGAGAAGGAGAAAAATGAGTGTATGCACTGCAAGACGGATTAAATAAATCATGGACTTAAATCAGTGCAACAGGACGCTAAAATATAACATTAGTAAGGGTTGTGAGATGTTGAGTCTCCCACATTTTCTAGACAATCGGCACATAGATGGTGGAGAGGTTGTCAGCCTTACGTGCTGAGCGCCCTTTACACCCAAGAAGATTCCTGCTACTCATTTCTGTTACAGGCTGAGTCAACCCCAGGGCCATAGTATGACTGAAAGGATTAGGTCAATTGAATAATCCAATGACCTCTGTGGAATCGAACCCAGGACCTTTTGGCTTGTAGCACAGTGCCTCAACTGACTAAGCTACCAAGTGCCACGTAATTCTTACGGTTTCTGAAATAAATGGAAGGTGTGAGTATGCCAGAATTGTTATAGTATGTTTACATTTCCTAACGTGTTTCAATACCTTAGAGCAAACAGGCTTCTATTCTGACTAAGGATTTTGTGACACTTGTCACTTCCTTCAGGCAAATGTCAGGACAATATCTAAAAATAAACCATGAATGACTCCTTCCACAGCCATCCCAATTCAACATTCACAGCACTATGATAATCATTTGATGTTAAAAAACATCAACAATTGATACAGCATCACTAAAAGCACATGCTAAACAAATATGTCTACATTTGTGGTGGGATTGTTACTTACATGTCCTAAAGAAGGACCTCTTGGTATTATTGTAACTTTATGAAGGGGATGAGAATCCTTAGTAAAGTATGCCACAACAGCATGGCCTCCCTCGTGGTATGCAGTGATCATATTTGCCTCTTCGTCTGGAATTCTTCCTTTCCTTTCAGGTCCTGCCAACATAAATATTGTTACTTGAGCTAGCAGTGGGCTAAGTCCCTTACATGAAAATATCTGAACTCAGATGCAACTTTGCATTAACATAGTTACTGCCAATCCTAACACCTTATGGGCTGAATTTGACTATGTGACAGTGTAGCTTCTGCTAAATGACGGGTCATTGGCAATGTGTATGCATACATTATCATCTCCTATAGACAGGGCTTTGACTCAGGCGGGATGCGGCGGGATGGCATCCCGGTTCTATTTTCATTCCACCTCAAGCACTGCCTATGGATGTATATCACTTAAGTGCAGTGAAACTTTAATGTGAGCTTGATGATGGTTCAAGGAGTCAACATATAGTCACTGTTGTTCATGTTTGAAGAGTTGTCTTCTGGGATGTAATGCCATGTAATCCATTAAAACAACTGATATTTTAAAGGAACATGTCACCTCCACCTTCAGGGTCAAATAATAAGCCAAACAGGAAACCAGCATGAAGCAAGTAGCAAGGAGACATCCCAGAAGATAGAATTACTCATAACCATCACTTGTGAGGAACTCAAATCCTGTTTTCTACCAATTCTGATTATTCTAAAGAAGCTGAAGTCATGCAACATATGTACAATGTTTCTGATAAGAGTTTGGTACAAGTCTCACTTATCAACTGCGCATACCCATGAGAACTTTGTCCCGGGCATTCTCCAGATATTTCATAGTGACAGAGTCAGCACCATCGATGGCTGCCCGCAGAGCTGCCTGGTTCACCATACTCTCCAGATCGGCACCTGTAAAGCCTGTTGTCCCTCGTGCCAATATCTCAACATCTATATCCTTACTGAGGACTTTCCCCAGGTACAGGTCCAAGATCTCCTTGCGGCCTACATAGTCAGGTGTTGGAACCTACAGGACAGAACTCACTAGTACTCGACATCCATCTTACACACCTGTTGATAGCAGAGCTAAGAGGCTAAGCAAGTCAGTTGTAAAGGATAATGCATATGACCTGTATTCAGGAGGTATCCTCAAATCTAAGTCAGAATACTATCCTGAGATTTTTGTGGTTTCATCCAGTCTCTCCAGGCTAATGCCAGGATCACCACTATCACCTCCTTCCACATCATTTGCTATCATTCAATCATTCAATGCAACATAGTCTGATTACTGTGTGTGCGCACAAACACACATATGTACAAGTGCACACACAGAGTATTCCAGAAAACAATTCCTAAGCACAAAGAGGAAAATGTAAGAAAAATTTCATTCCTAAAAGGTTACTGACACTTTGTCATGAGCTAATATGGCAATGAATGATAACATCTACTTGAGGGGCATGCAGTGTCCTGCTTTCTATAATATCCTCATATTTCATTTGTTACATGGGCTCAGGATACCTACTGCAGAAGCCCTCATTCAGGGTAAGCTGCCTTATAGGCTCAGATTAAAACCTAGATATAAAGGTATGTTGTCATTACACTATGATGTAATATGGCTGTGCATCACAGCAGAATCTTCAGTCCTGGTACTGAGACACTTACAGTTACTTCTACATCAAATCTTCCGGGTCTGAGTAAAGCTTTATCCAAGTCATCTCTCCTATTGGTTGCTCCAAGAACAATCACACCCTCATTCTGATGGAAGCTGAAACACAACAAAGCAGTTTTGAAAACAGTGACCAACATAAAGGTAGACACAGTTGAACAGGAAATTGATCATGAGATGAAATCCTTACCAATATGCATTTGTATGACAGCACTGTTAAAAATTCAATGACATATTTTTGATCAAATTCAACTGTATTCATTTAAAATACATGCATGGAAAATGTCCCTCCAATGAGACAGAATATTATTACTCTTCCACTCTGAAGATGGAGGAAGCAGGTTGCTATGAAATATATTTACCGCCCTATCAAACTAAATGGTGCCACATCCCAGAAGACACAAATCTTTATTGAAAATTTCACTTTAACCTCTACATAATTAATGCATTCTGAGCCAACATTTACCCATCCATTTCTGAAAGGAGCTGGTTGATGGTCTGGTTAGCATACGGATGCAGCACTGAGTTAGTTCTCTTTGCTCCGACAGAATCAATCTCATCAATAAAAATCACACACGGAGCTCTGTCCTTTGCTGCCCCTGTGGAACAAAACAATATCAGAGTTGAAGCCACTACTAAGTTTAACAGACGAAGTGTACTGCCAGCAGCAATTTCAAATACTGCAGAAACACAGTGAGCATAAGAACATATCTTTGCTACGGAAGTCTCACTGGGAATTCATCAACAGTACAGATATTACATGCATAGATATACAAACAACTTTGTAATTCTATTTTATTATATACTAGCTATACCCGGCCATGCGTTGCTGTGGCTCAGTCTAACGAAATATTTCAATTCAAACGCAGATCAATCAACACAGCTCAATCCCACCGCCAACTGCACTGAAAAATAAGGAAAACAGTTAAGAAAACGAAATGAAAAACAATGAAAAATAAACTGTACTCACGAAATGAACACTATGGTAAACGACACAGCCCAATTCCAATGCAATGTCACACGAAATAATTAAATCAAAATGAAAATAAATCAAAACCGTTTATATTCGGTGGTAGCTATCCCAAGACTGACTGCTTCGGCGGTCACTTCCAGACTCTCTTCTGTATCTCTCGGCATCTGCTCCAAGACTGACTGCTTCTTGTCCAAGCTGGACTATTTATACCTCGGCGGATGCTATACAATGAGCCTTCTGTTGTCTATCACCGGGGAAACGCTGCCAGAGTCGAATCCAAAACTCTGGGTGCAAACTCAGGATCTCTGTTGTGATTTCACTCAGAATCTCTTGTGATACTTGTTACCTCGTGATACTCGAGACACTCGTGATACTGAACAGTCGCCGAAGCTACACTCTCTTATACATATAGCCAGTGTTCGGACGGGATAGGGAATACCTCATCGAACAGTTAGTTTCATCTGTTGCTTAGGAAATGCTAGCACAGAACACCTTGTAGACTTCGTCTATAGTTGGAGCATTGAATCTTCGCACATGTTGTCCAGCAGGCGTTTTGTCAGCATGAGTAACAATCTTGTGTGTATCAGACGGCATCATGTCAAGTGCTGTTTTGAACAAACGCACTAAATTGTTTTTTTCATGAAGATGCTCTTGCAGTTGGGAAACGATGCACCTTTTTATGCTGGTAGAAATTCCGCAGCGTGCATTTAATTCATCATTGCCATCTCCGATGAAATACATTTGTAGGAACTTATGTTGACCATCTGGGAACAGAAGCAGGGAGCCAGCTTTATGATAAATTTGTCCTTTCACTTTGAAAGTTGGCATGACTTGAACTGTTACGATTTCTGCGCTGAACGACGTCATTTGGAAGCATGAGTTGTATTTCCTGATGTTAGATAGGAAATGCCTTGATTCGTCGGTATATCCGGCAAGCAAAGATTTTAATGGCTCTGGCGGTTCTCCAAGTGGAGGCAGTTTAATTTTTCCTGCGGCACAACACATTCCCCTCGTTTCTCCATTAAATTTCAGAGCCTTGCAATAAGGACACACTTCAGTCATAGTGCTGATGAGAACATGCCGGCTCAAACTATAATCCTCAGCTGGGCTGTACCGGAATGCAAGGCGATTGTAATCGCGTTATTGCTGAGCACGGAGTCATGTTTGACGCTGATCTGCTGTTTCTCGTTGATGTCTTTCAGCCACTCTCAGCCTGTCGCCTTCATTCTGTTGAGAACGAAGCAGATCTGAGGCTGCAGAACGCGATCCCCGTGCTCACAACCGTGCATCCTCAAGTCTGGCTGCATGTCGCTCTGCTGCTTCCTCGGCACGTATTTGAGCCATTCTTTGTCTCATTCGCTCGTTTGCTGATGCCCGTTCTTCTCAAGTTTGATTTGCAATTACTTGACGCCATGCTTCCGCTCCGCGAGTACAACAACCTAAGTTTGATCTTCCGCGAGGCATTATTTGGATGCACTAAAGCAGATTGATTGCACTGAAGAAGAAAGAAAGTTATAACAAAAACATACAAAATTGCAAAACATTAAAAAAGTAAAGAACACGAACTGGAAAACAAAGAAACAAAATAAAAATAAAAAATACTAACGAAATATTTAAATTCAAACGCAGATCAATCGACACAGCTCAATCCCACCGCCAACTTCACTGAAAAAGAAGGAGAACAGTTAAGAAAACGAAATGAAAACTGGACTATTTATACCTCGGCTGATGCTATACAATGAGCCTTCTGTTGTCTATCACCGGGGAAACGCTGCCAGAGTCGAATCCAAAACTCTGAGTGCAAACTCAGGATCTCTGCTGTGATTTCACTCGGAATCTCTTGTGATACTTGTGACCTCGTGATACTGAACAGTTGCCGGAGCTACACTCTCTTATACATATAGCCAGCGTTTGGACAGGATAGGGAATACCTTATCGAAGAGTTAGTTTCATCTGTTACTTAGGACATGCTAACACAGAACACCTTGTAGAAGTGTTTGGTTTCATCCGTTGTTACGCAACGGAACCTCTTATCCTCTCATCTCCGGGGAAACGCGTTTGTTGTTTCGGCAATTCCTATGCAACGGCCCACTGTTATTGCGTTTCCATGGAAGTATACTTTCTGGTTTATCCGTTGTTATGCAAGGGAACCTCTTATCCTTTAATCTCCGGGGAAACGCGTTTGTTGTTTCAGCAATTCCTATGCAACTGTTACTGCGTTTCCATGAAACTATACTTTCCGGATTCATGCGTGGCCGGGTACGGATAGTAGATATATAAAAAAATGCGCGTGTTCGAATGCAATGTTGTGTCAAAATTTGGAAGCAATCAGTGAAGAACTTTCGGAGATCTTCGAGGATTAACAAACCAACATTTACATTTTTATTTATATAGATACCATATCAAAGATGTTTTAAAAGGTTCATGTAATCCATTTTTTAGCATACATTCCTTTTTTTTAAGAAATAAAATGAGGGTTTTGAATCATCTTGCTATCTGTATATCCCCCGTAATTTTTTTTTTCAGTTTTCTATGAAATTCATGTCATATCAAAGGAAAGTAGACTATTTGTTCTTCCCAAAACATCTTGTCAGATCATGAAGAGTGTCTTGTGACATAAGTCATTTCTGACAAATTTGATAAAAGTTTAAGGTGAGCTTTATGTAAAATCTAATTCACACGGATCAAATTCATTCACATAAGAACTTCAACTGAAAACTCCCGAATGAACTCTGAGGATTTAGTCCGCAAGTGAGCTATACCGACCAAGCAACTGCCGCTTGTCGGCGAAGTTAGTGTCAACTTTAGCAGATAGAGGGTGTCACGTGGTCAGTGCAATTAGTCCCAATGGCCAGTTTTCTAGACCAGAACAGCTGCAAACTTCCAGTACCAAATTTTATCAAAATATGCCAAGTGGTTTAGGAGATAAAACATGTGGATGGACAATCAATACACATAACCTCTTGATTATCCATTTGCATTATATAGCTTGCACAAAGATTGTATAACACTTGGCATGTCATGAGCCAATTAGATCAATTCAGGCTACTTGAATTAAGAGTGCCTCAACTAAAAAGATTGCCTTGTAAATCAATTAGTATAGCATTTCTGCCAAGAGATAGCATCAAGTGTGACATACAGATATCCAGAGGAAAGAACAGGCTTTCACATGATCTATACCCGTTGCTATTTCAGAAAGTATCATTGGTTATTCTATGCAAGCGCATTTACCCCCAAGCAACCTTGGTGTTTCTAGAAGGACGTTCTATGGCAGGGTTCAGCAGTTGATGGGGTGAACTACTATTCTCAATTAAGAAATTAACTCACTGAACAAGTCCCGTACTCTTCTGGCACCCTGCCCCACTAGAATCTCATCGAACTCTGACCCAGCAGCATGGAAGAATGGGACGCCAGCTTCTCCAGCAACTGCACGAGCCAGGAGCGTCTTTCCTGTGCCAGGAGGGCCAACCAATAACACACCTTTGGGCAGCTTGCCACCCAGTGCAGAAAATTTCTCTGGATTTTTGAGGAACTCCACCACATCCTTCAGCTCTTGCTTTGCCTCATCTACCTACATAACAAAGAGAACCCACTTGTAGCAGGCTGTGTGATATTCCCATTCCTTTCAAGCTGCTGCAAAAGTAATACAGCAAACCCAGTATATTGGGTTTCTTTGTGGACTAGTGGATATCAGTGTTAAACTGGGGAGTCTTAATTGCAAGCAAATGAACATTCAAAATACTGACTCAGGATCACTGAAACAAGGTTAAACAGGATAAACACTTCAATCAGGAACCATAAATAAGGGATCTACTACAAATGTTTACAAAAACCAACTTCCTACTGTGATCAGAGGGCTTACTTTGAACTTCAAATGCATTATGTATGTGTCTATGTCTGTAAGTGGTGGGCCATAAAATACAGCCCTCACACTGCGATCTTCAATGATCTTCAGAAAGTGTCGCATGATTTATTTATGCAATGCGAGAAAAGTTTGCAAGCAGAAGGGGATCACTTCCAACACCTGTTATAAAGCACAGTATGAATGATTGAATGTATAACGGGTGGGTCTTGTCAGCCCTTGCATTGCAACCTGCAGTGATCTATTGTGCTTGTAAAGCACAGTAAGTTTGTGTTATCTTTTTACAGTATTCCTATAAATGTGTGCATGTACAGATACTGATGTGAGGGAATCAGCAACATGACTGCACTCTCACTAGCGAGGAAGGGCACAATAGTCATGGAGAAATGATTCATCCACTCTACGCTAGCGAGAGGGCGCACATTTATCAGCGGTGATGACTCATTCTGCTTTCGGCAGTTACATCAACAATCTGTAAGAAATATTGTATCTGACCCATGCCACTCCCCTGGTTTTCTTGATGACTGAATGCCCTGTATTTGCGGCACTTAATTAATGAGAGATTTCACTTACACCTTTTACATCCTCAAATGTCACGTGGATTTCTTCTGGATCAACTTCAACCTGGTTGCCAAGCTGGATGCGGAAGACGGAGCCACTTGCGCTTGCTGAAAACATAACATCAGTCAGTACCAACCTTTTCAAAATTTCACCATATGATTACCAACTGACAAAGAGAGGAGAACAAGGTGGCACTTCCCCGTGACTCTTCACTTGCTCAACCAAAATTAACCTATCTGAGCACAACTGGCTTTAACGCTAAAATATAAACTGAAATCTGCCAGAGTACACTTATAATTTTTATGTGATTTTTAGCAATAACAGACAGTATTTCCCTAAACAGTATTAATCACTTGTAGCGTCTTTTCTGTGAGGTATAAACAATTTTAAAATATTATTTATATGGGCTTCATGCATTGAAAATCAAACTGTTTCTCTTCAAAATCGTTTATGCACAACATATTACTGAAAAATTAGAAATAAAATAATATATAAAAAACAAATGTACTGTATGTTAGTACTGAATTTATTTGCATAATTTTCCCACAATACAAATCTAGTTGTTCCAGCAGCCACAGCATAATTAATGGTAGTGTTGTTGATGTTGATGGTGGTGGTGATAGCAGTAATAATTTAGTAATAATTTTTTTGTAAATGTCTAATGAGTACTACTTAGACAATTATTCCAAGATAAAAGGTAAAGAAAGGTAAAGCTACCCTTTAACAGGAAGTGGAGGCCAACAGAGTTGTCAGAGGTTGAGGCTCCAACAGTTGTTAGACAATCAGCTCAAAGATGGCAGTGAGGTTGTCAGCCTTATGCACCAGCCACCTTTTACCCCCTAGGTAGATTTCTAGTATTCATTTCTGTTAGATGCTGAGTCAACCACAGGGCCATAGTGCAGCTGGAAGGATTAGGTAAATCGAAAAAAAAAAAAAATCCACCTCACTGGGATTCGAACCCGCGACCGTCCAGCTTGTAGTATAGTGCCTCGACCAACTATGCTACCGTGTGCCTCAGTTATTCCAAGTAGCAATTCTGAACTAGAAACAAAGTGAAGTTTAAACTGGCATTAAGAATTCAGATAGTTGGTTGAGGTGCTATGGCACAAGCCGGAAGGTCGCGGGTTCAAGTCCCGATGAGGGCACTGGATTTTTTTCAACTAACCTAATCCTTCCAGCCACACTATGGCTCTAGGGTTGACTCAGCCTCTTAACAGAAATGAGTACCAGGAATTAATTAAATAATTTTCCTGGGAAGTAAAGCGCGGCCGGCGCATAAGGCTGACAACCTTACCGCCATCTTTGAGCCGACTGTCTAGATAATGTGGGACCTTCAACATCTCACAACCCTATGGGCCTTCACGGCCAGGTACAGGGATAGCTTTACTTTTTTTACTTTTTTCTTTTTAAGAATTCAGATAGCAGTTTTCTGGGTCGAGACACCAGGTAGTATTGGAAGTGGAGAGCAACATTTTGGAGGAGCCTGCAGCCACCATCTACAGAGTTGAAGTGACTGGGGTAAGAAGCAATCAGGTTTTGTATGCTGGATGCAAAAAGGGTGATCACTCAGACAGATAATTTGAATGCCCACTGCCATGAAAATGTAAAATATTATTGGCTTCTTGAATAACAACAATGATGATGTGTTTGGTTTGAGGCAAGTTTAAAATGCTAAATAAATGGATAAAGATAAAGACATCACTTGTTTAAACAGATTATGTTTCATTTAAAATACTCCCTTCAGGATCCTGGGTACTAAAGTGCTTTTATATCCATACAATCTGGATCAATACTGAAAAGAATTTTACAAAGGAAAAGAAAAATGAAGTAGATTGGTGGTTTAGAGGGTCTGTGTTGTGATAATGCCCTTACTTCTGGTATGCCTCACTGCTGTCTTACCCATGAAGGATACGAATATCGCCAGGAAGATGACAATTATCAGTAGTTGCTGGATGACCTTCAACCACTTCATTGTCCGTCCAGGGGCCTTCTGGCCAGACCCTTCCAAGTAGCCCTCTGCAAATGCCACTTTCATGCGATGCTGCTCTTCCGTGCTCATTGTTTCATCTGTAATAAGCGCTAAGTAGAAAACAAAAACTGAAATCAAACGTCTTGTTATTTATTTGTTTGTAGTTTATTAAACAAGTCAGCCAGTAACTCTGACTATATACTACAGATTAAGGTGGTGATAGTAATAATGAATTAGAAAGGATGTGGAAGGAAGATGTCATGGCCCAAGCCAAGGCACTACCCCAGCATATTCCTGGAGGGACTGAGAGAAACTAATAACCTTAGTCAGGATAGTATGTTTGCTAAATGACATTTAAATATGATAGACCTTTCGGTGGCTGGGATATGAATATGATGGTCTGATACTCAGCTGAGATTTGAACAGGGACCTCCTGAATATAAGTTAGAAGTACTGTCACTTTAGCAAACTTGCTTGGTAACTAAGTGTTCACAGCAACATCAAGGGGAAACGGCATATACCACGTTAAAGTGACAGGATGTCACACATGAAGGATTCATTTAATCAAGATTTTCACTGTAACAAATTTACGTTTGTTTTAATTTAATTAATACTGGCTCCTGAGGTTTAAAACAATAAAATATGTTACACTGAACATTGGGGCACGTGGTAGGGTGGTTGGTTGAGGCAATATGCTACAAGCCGGAAGGTCGCAGGATTGAATCCCAATGAGGTGGAAATTTTCAATTGACCTAATCTTTCCAGCCGCACTATGGTTCTGGGGTTGACTCAGCCTCTAACAGAAATGACTACCAGGAATATTCCTGCGGGTAAAGGGCGGCTGGTGCTTAAGGCTGACAACCTCACCACCATCTGTGAACCGATGGTCTAGAAAATGTGGGAGCATCAGCATCTCACAACCCTATTGACCTTCATGGCCTGTTACAGGGAAACCTTTACTTACTTTTACACTGGACATTACAATGTTAAAAATAAACATATTTAGCACATATGCCATTAAGAATGTTACATGATATATCAACTATGTATTTCAAATAAGGAGAAATATTTGTTTTACATTTATCTGTCATAAGAATTTAACTGTAATGGTGTAACATCTGAAATTCAGATACTTGAGTTTGATTCAAAAAATTAATTTCTAAATGAGGGCAATCCTAAAATTTTGAAAAAATAATTTATGATTATGAGCAAAATATGACTCCACACATGCACACACGCACATACACACACAAAATGCAACTAAAATCTTGCCTTTTAATTTCTCTGCTTCCACTTCAGGCTGATTAAAACTACCAACTTTGCCCACACTGGTACTACTTATGCCCGGGTGTCCTAGTGGACTACCGCCTGTATATGAGAGCCCAAATGCCTGACGTAGACGCATGCCGATTGTTGGGTTTCGGATCCGTTCTGCCATAATGCTGCGTTCTGTCTTGAATCCTCGTACATGGATATCTATAACACACAAATTCTATAACTGCCTCCAGCCACGTTACAAATTACAAAAAACAGAAATATTCATACGTTGCTACTCTTAGAAGTATCATGGACTCTGATGGGTACTGCATTCTGGCATGTAACACTGTGTAGACCAGTAGAACATTAAATGCTTTGTATGAACCTGCTCAATCTATCATCAGGGTAGAAGAGAGAGAAAGCTGGTTCCTCTGAAATGCTGGTAACATTCTACTAGACTACACGGGATCACATCTCAAGAGAATAATCTTCACAGTTACCACTCTGACAGCATCAAATCCAACATAAGGATGAGAGTATTGTAATGTGTTTTGCCACTGAAGACGCCGTTTGGATTGTTAATTGGTTTATTTAACAACCTACAAGTCTCGGCTACAATTAATTACAACAATGTTACAGGTTTACACACTTTACAAACCCTACACACAAATCTGTCCACTCTGTCCTCAGTAGTCTACACGTATTCACAGTACGGGAGCTATTCCAATGTCACTGTGTCACACACTCCCAATTACTTCTCTTGTGAGCCAAGCATCTGCTTCTCACGCTATCACTTCTAATCACATGTTCAGGTATTCTTCTTTCCGCTACCGCTGCTAGATTCCAACTGTCTTTGGCGGCTACTACATTTTGACTCGCTTCATCATAGTCAAAGTCATGTTACAACTGACGGTCAGTCAGTCTGTCAGATGTTTTCTTCTTTGTGAAAGTTGCTGTCCTGTCCATTTGGGGCATCCTCTCTGATGAGAGGTTGGGTCTGTCATTTGTCAGTCAGTCTGTATTAATAAGTCCACTGTCTGTATTTACATAATTTACAAATCCACACTTATACCTTCTATGTACAACATATACACGGCCTCTGTCAATCCAGGCATTGTAGAGCAGATTATGCCCTATTTCTAGTAGTAATCGCTATCACGGCAGTCTAGTCACTTGAACTGTCGTATGCCTGACCGCCGCCAAGTTTAAGCCTCTTATACTTTCTGTGGCTGGCTTCACCTTGTCCAATGTTGCGAACATTCTCATTATCATGATTTTGTATGACTTCTGCTTGTTGCCTGCATAATTTTGTTATGTAATCATATACGTATGGAATGTTGAATGTCATGTGCAACTCGCGGACCGGTGTGCACCTTGGAAAATTGCCAATGGTGCGGAGAACCTTGTTTTGCAGGCGCTGCAATTTAACTAGATGGGTGTCTGCCGCAAACTCCCAGGCGGGACTAGCATAAGTCATTACGGATCTAATAAGAGCTTTATGGAGGGTCAGTTTAATGTTAGCGCTCAATCACTCACTTTTAAATAGGGAATATACTCTAATGAATGTTCTGAAGGCCTTGGCTTCGATCATTTCTATGTGTAATTTCCATGTCACTCTCTTGACTCGCTTCGTAGGCAGTGTAGTTATCTTATAAACCCTCAGCCGGACAATGGGAAAACGCCTTGCTCCCTTGTTGCCTAGTCGCCTGTTTACTGGTGTTGCTGCGCAGTACTGTCTAGAGTTGTTTACTGCTACGTAGCAACTGCGGCATCCTGTGTTACGTCACCGCAGGGAAAGGGGTGTTGACTGGCCTATTACTGTAGCAACGGCAACACTCTGAAACTGTTACGTCACCGCTGGCGGGGTAGGGGAAGGAGTGTTGACTTGCCTATTACTGTAGTAACGACAGCGCTCCGATGCCGCCATATCACCGCTGGGGAAGGAGGGGGTGTCCTCCATAGCACAACACGTCACAGTATTAACCCCTTGAACCTTCTATTCTAAGCACAGTGCTGAGCCAAAACAGTACAATTAAAATGGACGCCATGATACTCAGCACATGTAGACAACTAGTACACAAGAATTATTTACTCCAAGGTAAATATTTTGTTCTGAGTTTCTAAATGCACACAGGCTTTCTGTGGTTCAAGATATGTCATCAGTTTTGATTTTTTCTTTTCATTGGGTGCATCCTGTTATGTTTATCATACAAAACTCTTTAATAGAATCCGTCGCAACACGAGATGGTCAAGGTCAATATTACCTTCAGCTTTTAAAGCCATCCTCAGGCAAAAACATATGCTGTAGTTATTACACTCACAAACTACTGAACTGCATTGCAATATGATGGTACAATAGAGCTGGATACTTGCCAATTATGCTACACTATAATAAAACAAAGTATAAAGATACAATAAAATTATAAAAGAATCATAAAAACGAAAATTATACAATTAAAAATATTCATGTAATATTTCATATTATGTTCAAGTAATATTTCATATTATGAAGTCAATTGTTGTAACTGTATTGTCATATTCCAGCGGACATATAGTGGTATTATTCTTGCCTTGTACACATATGGAATGGTTAACTAATTGGAGGTCCGTGGTATTGGTGCAATATTATTTAGTATTTATTGTTTAACCGGTACATGATTTTACATGTCTATGTCCGTTCTGGTGGGAAGACAGATTGCAGACATTTTGAACATTTTGTATGATGGCGAGTACAATAATAATTACTATATTTGATTAATAATTAACAAAAGATGTCACAATGTGTACTACCTGTACCGGCCACAAGGCCGACGGTAAAATCACTGTCCAATTAGCCTGCACTCTGAACATGGCGTAGAAGCAAGATGATTACTTTGTCTGAGGGAGATGTCACAATAACAACAAAGAAAAGATAAAGGTGAGAAAGGAGTCTGCATTCTATGCATAACAGCAACTCAAGAAACGTAGTAAAAAAACTTACCAAATAAAAATGGTCGTCCAACAAGCATACTGTGCAGCAGTCTTCTGGTACATTTGTTTGACAAAACGATGGATGTTGATGAACCGCAACACGTCGGTTGCCCCTGAGGAAAGCCATGTTTGTTTTCGAAAAATGATTCCGATGAAGAGTAATTTATTTGCCAAGGTGAGGTTAACTTAGTTTTTAATAGTGGCTGAGTTGTCAGCTGGTTCCAGAAGAGACATGGTACTAACCCATCTGCACACCCGCCATTAATTTTTGGTAAATGTTTAAAAATAAATTCACTGCAGTTGTTGACTGCCTGAAAGCAGAAAAAAAAATCACATGCTGGTCTCCTAATGTTGTCATCTCAAGAACATCCTATAAATATACTCACTGTATTTAAACTATGTGAACAAATTATATCAACATCTCCGTCTGTTTGTGGGGCTGCCCCCTGTTGTGGCCGACTGGATTTTGTCCCTGAAGCTAGGGGTGAACATGGTCTTCTTGGATTAAGAGCAGCTGAAGTTAACTGTGTAAGGTGAAATAACACCTGAAAACATCGGAAACCACTCGTATTGAAGGCCCAGCAAGTCCAATGTGGATAATTTTATGACGAGTGATGTAAACTTGGGTGACTAGCTCAAATCTCACAAGGTTAAAAGGTCCATTATACGTCACATAAAATTTAATATTCATGCTTACCTGATTATTATTCTGCAGGGTAAACATCGATCAGTACTACTTAGCAAAATATAGTATATTTGTATACTATTTAAAACTACCCAAATATAACGTGTAACAAAGTAATAACACTCATACATCCAACGCTTTCGTCACTTATGGTTGCTTCGCATTTGTCACTTCTTTTGTCTTCTGATCTGTGCAAGTACTCCCAGCAACAGACAACCCTATAAATTAATAGAATTTAACTGGCGAACCTGCGGATTTGGGACTCCTCCTTCAGTGCCTCCAACATGCTAGAGAACATTCCTGTTGGAGTTCAGCTACCTTCACGTACCATTGTGTTGGGAGAATATGGTAGTACTGTACTGCCGGATGGCCGTACCCAATGCAACCAATATGACCAAAAGACAGAATGCCGGCGACAAACGTCACGTACTATACGAGAACTGCGTTACGGCGCAAGAAATGTTCTGACTGGTTGTGACCGTTGTGACAGGAAGAGTTGATGGTGGTGTGCTGAGTTTAATGATACACTGTTTCCTTAGTGCGAGATATATTGATAACATGAATACGAGATTTTCAGAAGTAATATGGATCTGATCTACGCCTTATTTCGCAAACATACAACGAATTCTGCGAAATCTCTCCAGAATTACGAATGGTACACGTAAGTTTTGTATTTTATTTAAACGTAAGATAACCTCACATTTGGTTTTGTAATTGCGCGAGTTAGCATACAGCATCTGTGTGAGTAAAAGTATCAAGCCCAGTACAAGTTTCCCATATTACGCATTTGTGATACATTTCCAAAAGCAACCAAAGCAATGGAAAATTAATTTCTGAAACGAACTTAACATTAACGACATGCACCCTAGTTGATACATACGTGTAATCCCTAATTAATAGAGGCCAGGGAGTTGATATCTAAGACAGGTTCAGTAATTTTAGTAACTTGTATATAGTGTACTTGGGTTTTCTTTGCTAAAGGTACCTTTTTCAAAAGTTAAGGCGGGAGAAAAAGGAAAATACAAAGCCGCAGTGTGACGTAATGATCCCTTACCTCTTTCATCTTGAGGGTAGTATACGGCCATATTTTAGTGACTGAACAGGGAAGTTGGATTGATGCTGCATTTCTTGAGTACTTATAAGCCATAACTACAAATAATTATATTGTCACTAACATGCACACACTAAGCCTTCTCAATCTGTTATGTCTTCACTAATCATTGCTAGGTAATGATTCCAAACAGTGGAGATTCCTTAGCGTGGCCTCCACAGAAACCACTGCTTGCTACAGTTCTCTTGTTGCAGGTATATTTGTTGGTGTGGAAGCATGTTTTGCAGTGCCATTGCCTAGCAATGGCTGTCTCTTCTGGTTCCACTGTTCTGTCTTTCAGGCATATGTCACAGTATTTAACTTCCTTGTATATAGTCACTAGTCATTGCTAGGTAATGATTCCAAACAGTGGAGATTCCTTAGCATGGCCTCCACAGAAACCACTGCTTGCTACAGTTCTCTTGTTGCAGGTATATTTGTTGGTGTGGAAGCATGTTTTGCAGTGCCATTGCCTAGCAATGGCTGTCTCTTCTGGTTCCACTGTTCTGTCTTTCAGGCATATGTCACAGTATTTAACTTCCTTGTATATAATAACTGAAATATATCAATTTCAGTTAAGGTTCAAAATTGTTTATAGTTTCTGTAAAGCTTTCCAAGGAGCACAGATATGACATTGTTTGTGTTTCAGTTTGCATGAGGGCCACACACTGTGTTCAGTTTCAAGCCAGAATATCGTTGCCTTTACAACAACTACAGAACTTGAAGACATCAGTGGGAAAACATGGGGCTCTCATGTGTATGTTGCAGATCTGAACACACCCTGGCACAGTCACAAGTAAGTAGGAACAGAGGATGATATATATATATATATATATATATATATATAAATTAAATTTAAAACTAATACCCGTATGCAAGGGGTGTCGTAGGCGAGTCGTAGGAGGCGACGAAAAGGGAAGTCTCAAATCTGAGATAGTAAAATATGGTCGCGAGTTCCAAGGGACTCGGACCCGCGAAAGAATGCGCTGGTAAGGGCCAGCAGCATATACAAAAGACAGACCCGTCTTCTTGTCAGAGAGGGCGCCCACAGAAACAAGACCATTCGACACCAAGACTTACTGACTGACTGACCGTCAGTAGCAATGTGACTTTGACTTAAAAAAAAACTCCGTGGCTTGAGTCCGCAAGCAAACTATACCGACCAAGGGACTGCTGCTTGTCAGCGAAGTTAGTGCCAACTTAGTGGATAGATGGTGTAGCATGGTCAGTGCAACAGATCTCCACAGCCGTTAATCTCGGTCTTCTAGACCGGAGCTGCTATTTCCTTGAAATAGCTCCTCAGTTATCTTCATGAGGCTAGGTGGACCTCATTCCAGACCCACTACTCAGAAAATCTGGTAGCGCCGGGAATCTGGATCTGTAGCCATGAACTCTGACCACTAGACCACAGAGGCTGTTGGATTATATTGTGATGTACTATATGACGTCCATCGCTGCACAATGGCTATAATGGGAACGCATACTTCCACAACAATGAATACATGGAAATTGTTGAGTTCCCACAGCAACAAATTGAGTACCAGTAGACTGTTGTGTAGGAATATCCATGGCAACAAATTATTGAAACAGCAGGAATAATGCATTTCCAAGGTAACAAGCATAGAACACGTGAAATCTAACCCTGGGAGAAGGTGCTCTCTATTGCATCTTGGACCAGGTTATAAAAGTCCAGCATCAAAGGCTACCTAGGGACTACCTATGTGGAGGTGGGGTTGAATACCTCCACCGTGACCCTGCGAGTCATAGGAGGAGACGAAAAGGGAAGTCTCAAATCTGAGAGTAAAATACGGTCGCAAGTCTCAAGGGACAGCAGCATATATAAAAGACAGACCCGTCCTCTTATCAGAGAGGGCACCCCACAAAAAACAAGACCATAAATGTAATAAATATCTGGTCATGAGCCCCAGATGAGGATTGACACCAAGATTTACTGATTGACCGTCAGTTGCAATGTGACTATGACTTTGACATCGAAGGGACTAACTCTCTGGTCTGAGTCTGAGTTTCATTTTACGACCAACGGTCAGTTGGCCAGTCTTTCGTGGCATAAAGAACCAATCTGGGGCTTGCAACCAGATATTTATTACTGATTGACAGTTATGGTCTTGTTTTTTTTCTTTTTGTGTGTGGATGCCCTCACTGACAAGAGGAAGGGTCTGTCTTTTGTATATGCTGGTGGTCCTTGCCAGTGCAGTCCTTCTCGGGTCCTAGTCCCTTGGTACTCAAGACCATTGTATTACTCTCTCAAATTTGAGACTTCTTGTCGCCTCCTACGACTTGCAGGGTCACGGTGGAGGTATTCGAACCCATCTCCACACGGGTCACTCTCTGGTCGCTTCGAAGCTGGACTTTTATAACCTGGTTCCAGACGCAGTAGAGAGCACATTCTCCCAGGGTTTGATTTCACATGTTCTGTGCTTGTTAACACGGAAATGCATTATTCCCGCTGTTTCGACAATTCATTACCACGGATATTCCGACGCAACTGTCTGCTGGTACTTAATTTGCCGCTGTGGGATCTCAACAGTTTCCATGTACTCGTCATGGCAGAAGTATGCATGGCCCTTGTAAATTAAGCACTATGCCATGAAGACGTATGGGAGAATGGAGTTATAGCTCCACCATTCTTGATCTCGGCACTAGTTGGAGGTGAATAGTCAGCTTCATGCTCCAGCTGCTATACCCCTGGGGAAATTGCCTCCAGTACCCTTTGAATTGGAGGCTGGGTGGGCATCAGAGCAGGTCTGGATGTTAATGGGGAAGAAAAAAATCTTGCCCCTGCCAGGAATTGAACCCCAGCAGTCCCGACTGAACTGTCCTGGTCCCTCGTAGGGGATGTAAACATAGTACATTATTAGTACATATAAGTTGCGTTATTTTGGCATGAGACTTGACAAGTGATTTCTTTCTATAACTGCATATTTTAGGGTTGTTTCAAATAAAGCTGGCGTGACAGCACTAGAATGGGACATGCCAGGGGACAAGCTCCTGTTGGCTGATACAGCTGGAAATGTGCAGTTGTGGAGCTTCAGGGACCATATCCTCAATGACTGGCTGTGCCTTGGGACAGCCTCTTTTCCTGGTGAACACATCCTTGGGGCAGCATTTTTCCATAATGGCAAGAAGGCAAGTGGCTTCATTCCATTTTTGTTAGCATTTTGATACAAAATGTGATGAGACAGCCCACCTGTCCATCATCCGTATGGTTCTCTGTATGGGGCTTCTCCCCTTGCAATTCGAGATCCATTCATTTATCCATTTTGCAATAGAAATGAATAGTATTTGGTGAGTTAACCAGACACATACAATGGATAAGGCACATACTCTATGTCTTGTTAGCTTGATATTCAGCAACACAACATGTGGTGGAGGATGGAGTTGTTCTCAGCTTGTTTCAAAATAATAGTGCATATGAAGTGGAAGATAAATTAATAAATATGTTTTATGAATGAATGAAGATAGAATAATAAAGAAGGTTTTCAACATGTGACTAAAAGGAAAATGCCCATAAAGAGGGTCAGGATGAAGAAGGGAGGTACACGTTAGGGAAGATGTCACACAGAAGAGAGTAAGGGCTGTATTGCACTAGGATGCCAACGGGAGGCCATGGCGCAGCTGCCAGCATCTCAGTCAAACTCAGTATAATAACTGTCTGTGTATCACAGTCCATCAATAATGCAACAATAATTAAAATATTCACCATTTAACACTTAACACAACATGTGTTGTCCATACATGACCGTCTTCAGGTGTTTCAACGCACCCACACTGCTATACTGCTTTGATGCGTGCTATAATCACACATTCCAGTCCACTTAAAATAACATAAATAATTACTTAAAATCCATTAATTTTTTTTTTCTATTAAGATCTTTCTTAAAATACTATTCCACCTCATAAGGGGCATTGTCCACTTGTTTGAAGCTATGTGATATTCCAGAAGGTTTGTTTCAGTAGCTTGTTTTCCTGTTTCACTTAGCCCATTGTTTTGCTACGTCTGCAGTCTGTAACGAAACAGGAAAACAAGCTGCTAAAATAAACCTTCTGGAATATCACATAGTTTCAAAGAAGTGGACGATGCCCCTTATGAGGTGGAAAATGATTCTACGAAAGATCTTAGTAAAAAAAAAAATTTAATGAATTTTAAGTGATTATTTATGTTATTTTAAGTGGACTGGAACACGTGACTTTTGTGCGCATCAAAGCAGTGTAGCAGTGTGGAGTGTTGTGTTAAGTGTTAAATGTTCAATATTTTAATTATTGTTGCATTATTGATGGATTGTGATACACAGACGTTTAATTAAAGATGTGCAACAGGGTGCTGAAATACAGGATTATCAGTTTATTAATTTAGTTGTCATATATCGCACACGGCATCTGTCTGGAAGCGCTTCCAACTTGGCATCGCTGCCAACCAAAATGCCAAGTGCTAATGCTGCTGGCATTGCTGCCACAAAGGCAAAGGCCAAATCAACATCACATGGCAGTCTGAGGTCAGTCCATTCACTGTGCATGTATATGTGCTTGTGTGTATTTCTGTTTCCTTCAAAAACGTCCAATTATGACACCGAAAGATTTATAATTGAAATTCATTTCCAGCCATCTGGCAGCTGGACGCCATGGCATCCTGGTGCGATACAACCCTAAGAACATAGAAGGATCTTGGTTACTAGAAAGAAAAATGTTTCAAACAAAAGTTGTGAAGACAAATGAAATGCATAACTTGGTTCATCCTGGTCCATCACACTACTAACTGTGTATAAGATTTTTAACCACGATAACAAACGGTGTACCCTGAATAACTGGATCACGATATCAAAGAGCATTCATCATCAGACAACAATACCGCACTGTGGAATATAACCATCTTCCATTAAGGAGAAGCAAATTGGTTCTAGATTAGAACAAATATTGAACATTACTTTGTAAACAGAGTAATTGTAATAATTTTTAAATATTTTAACAAATCAATATACATCTTAATATTAGTTAAAAGATATTTATATGTGTGACATGGTAATAGTAGTTTCCATATGTGTTGATAATATCCTTCTGAAGATGTTCGTTTTGACCGAAACATGTAAAGGATGAAAAATTAAAAACACAACTTTTGTCACTCACACTGGATGGTGGTTTAAAATCTCATATACAAATGAAATGCATTTTATGTCATTACACCCTTTCCATAAGGCATACAGATTTTGAGATAATGAAACAAAAGAAATTCTTCAGTTGTTTTGTCTCATGACTTCAGAACAACTGCATCGGTTTTTGTAAAGTTTTATGTTTGATCTGTTGCACAAAGTTAATTTCTCTGATTTGCAGCCATATTAACCCATAATGAAGTTAATAAAAAGTTTCTGCCTTGTACATCATGTCTTTAATATAATAACATTTTATGAACCTCAGGTAGGCTGACCAGAAATTTTGTGCGCTGCACTATGGAGTACACTGTTTCCAGTCTTCTCTCTCTCTTTATATATAATTTTTGTTACTTTGGTCCTGTTACAGATTAGTCTGGTCTCTGAGAAGAAGGATAACATTTTCTACAATGAGAAGTTCACCCACCTGCGGTTTCCACCCTCTGTTCGCTACTTTGGAGGACGACCAATGGAAGGCTGTCTTGTGATCAGTACCACAGGAATGGTTGGGGTTGTGATAGCATCACGAGAAGGCCACCAGGGATCTCCACAGCTTATCATAACAAGTGACAGTCTGGGATCAACGAGGCACCGAATCACTGCTGTTGACATTTGTTATGGGAAAAGTCAGCATCTTTCAGCAATAAGACATAGTTTTTATTTCACATTGTCACTTGTTATTGATCTTCCTTCCCCCCCCCCCCCCGGGATTCATTAACCCTGATGCATGGAAGATTTAAATCCCAGCTCCTATCTCACTGCAGGAGAAGTTTCAAGTGGGGATTCAGATTTAGACTTGCCAAATAACACCAGTTACTAACATCTCTGTTTCTTTCCTTGTCACGAGAATCAGAATCACTGTCTTAAGAATAAGGAAAAAAATTATACATTCTAAATATATTCAATATTAACTTTGATTAATGTTTACCATCCAGTGAAATGTCTAACAACTGAATTAAAGTTGACATTTCCAAGAATATTTACTCAAAGGGAAGTCCAACTAATACACACACCAAATGATAGCCTAGACCTTCATCTTGCGATATATACAACATAATTTATGGCGTTCAAGTAGTTGTTAGATGAAGCACAAAGCAGGAACATCCGTCAGCCTGGCACTCCCTGCTGGTGGGTTGTGCTTCCATTTTTTGACGAATAGGATTCTTCAAATATATTATGTAGTATGAAGATGGTCGCTTCAACTGAAACATGTCAAGGATGAAAGATTAAGAAGGAGAAAGAAACATTTATCAGTCACAGTTGACGGAGTTGATAATCTTTTATACTGTTACTAGTCTGGCGGACCAGGATGAACCAAGTCAGTGCTCTTAACATTAGACACTGAATTAACCTAGACATAGTTTTGGTATTTCCACTGCACTATATGTGATGGTCATACCATCATGACTTGGTTTAGTGTCATTTCATTTTCACCACTATGGATATGATGGTAATGCTGCCTAAGTTTTAATTATGGAAATTCAGATGAATACATAAGTAATGGGTGTTTCAAAATGTGTATCATTAAATTATGAGTTAATTTCAAGTATCTTGTTATGTTTTGTAGATGGACACTTCCTGGTGGCAGTCAGCAGCGGCAGTGTGAGTCTTCCCATCCAGTGTTTCCGAGTGTCAGTGAAGCAGAGTGATGACAAGTGTATCATCATGTCTCAGGCTTTGCCAAGCTTCTTTCTTCAGTCCAGTCCTATCAAGGAGAACCAGTGTGTGTATACACTTCATCTTCCTGTTGCACTAACTTATCACTTATACACACAATTTTTTTTATTGCTAGTGGGGTGGGACAGGTCCCTTGTATTGCGGCCACTTCTGGCCTATTGTACCAGCCCCAGATGGTAGGTGAGGGTGATTGTGGAGCAATTGGTGGAATGAAGATTGGCAGGGGAAACCAAAGTCCTTCGGAAAAAACCTGCCCCAGCGCCACTTTGTCCACCACAAATCCCACTTGACTAGACTCGGGATTGAACCCAGGCCGCCGTGGTGGGAAGCCAGCGACTAAGCACTTGAGCTGTGGCACAGCCCTTGTACACACACATACTTCTGTCTCAAATGCAACTTTATTTTTCATTTACTCTTCCTCTTTGCTACTTGTGTTGACTGTACCAGGCCACTGTCAGCAACTGTTTATCATGCTAAAACCGTTACAACGTATTTTCCGCTGTATTTAAATTGAATGAGTTCCAAATTATAATATGAGACCGCACCATAGCTCAAGTGGTTAGTCACTAGCTTCTCACCGTGGCGGCCCAGGTTCGATCCCGAGTCTGATCAAGTGGGATTTGTGGTGGAAAAAGTGGCCCTGGTGCAGGTTTTCTCCGAGTATTTTGGTTTCCTCTGCCAATCTTCATTCCACCAATTGCTCCACAATCACCCTCACCTATCATCTGGGGCTGGTACAATAGGCCAGAAGAGGCCGCAGTACAAGGGACTTAGTCCCACCCCACTAGCAATTAAAAAAAAATTAGAATATATCAGTGTCGTTCCAATTGTCCTTATCCATTCATAAAAGATATTTGTTTAAACGCTTTATTCATCGTTATGTTTTCTCGCGCTGGTTTCCTCCTGCATCATCTCTGGTTTGCATGTTACTTAGTTTAGTTCTTATGGATGTTGTTATCATCATTATTATATGCTGCATTGGTTTGTATATGTCCACAGTGTTAGAGTGGTTGAGTATACATCACTTATTTTCTACTCTGAACTTAGTTAAATCTCCCATTTAAGGTTTCTCTGGGGAGTAGAAGGTTTGAGCACTAAATTGGGGGCAGTCTTAAAGAGAGGGAGTTCAGTAGTGAGATTATTGACTTGAGGTCAGGGAAACTGAATATGAAATGGGAGAGAACCCTAACTTGAATGTTAATTGAATGGGGTTTCCACTCTACATGTATATTTCTAATTTCAAATTTACTTACAAAAGACATAAACCCCAAACTATACAAAATTCAATTTTGCCCATTGTTTTGTTTTCTTCTCTGTTCCTTGCTCTTTTTTATTTTGCTCCCTCCTCCTCTTCCTTCTCTTCTGTTTTTTTCTTTCTTTTTAGAAACGAATTTTAGTCTGTGTAAGTGATCGGGTAGTTTTACACAGCTTGTAGCTTGTGTTCAGGAGAAACTCACTTTGATTCTCAGCTTAGGCACTGGATCTCATGACTGAATTCTGTTGTTTTTCTCAGATCTAGGTCTGGGGTTCACAGACCCCGCACAAGGTCTGTGAACTGGGATGGGAGAAAGAATTAAATAATTATTTTCAATAACCTCTAACTGAAATTTAGCATTTTTTTTTTCAGTTAGGAATGTAGGCTTTGACTTTGTCACCAATAGAACTCACAGATCGCTGGATCACCCCTGTCTATAGATGCTCACGCATCGTAGCTGGCCCGCTATTGGGCAGCTGCATCTAGTAATCTTTCAGCCACCAAATGGTGAAGTCGCATGTTCTCACATTATTGACCCAGACATGTATGTTGCTTTATTATGGCATTGGTGCCAGTAATTTAATTTAAGGGTTACAATTTCTTGTTCATGAATAGGGAATGACTAATGACTTCCATGTTTAGCAGAGGCTGCATTTCTTGTGATTTCCCTTTTCATCTGGGCTCACTTCTGTTGTGCTTCTCTATTCTCAGATCGCCATGTTGTGCAACTGAAGTTTGTTGTGCGGGAGGATGCTGATTCATTGGTTGTGGCTGCAAATGGTGATAGTGGCTGCCTCGTTGAAATCTGGGAATTGCGGGAAAAGCCTATGCCAATACACAAACTCTTCCAGCCGAAGTCTCACTCTTCCCAGCCAGAACCATTCAAGACTGTAGTAAGTTATGCATTGACACAGGTTTTAACCTGTTTTCTTAACCCGCTGCATGCCATGGACAAATTGGCTTGAGACACGTTAAAATTGCCACAACCAAAGAGATCAACTCATTGTTAATCAATTGGTACAGCATTTCTGTCAACAGATGGCTTCAGATGTGGCATACCAATGTTTTGAGGAAGAAACAGGCTTTCACTTGATCTACACCAATTATCATTAGAAGGTCATTTGAGGAAGCATTGTGGATTTTATGTGCAACTATATTTACCCCCAAGGGGTCTCATCTGTGACAGAGATTGACAGTCAGTGGGCTGAACTGCTGTTACACTGTCACATATTGACATCACAGCCAGTTCAGTCAGTAAAGTATGTGGAGATTGATCATTCTTAGTCATCACACATGAATGTGTGTCATGATTATTTGTCTAAGTTTCATGTTATTTCTTTCTGCAGTTGTGGCAACATCAGTCACACTTTATGTCCTCGTCTCCTGTAGTGTGCATAACAACGTCCAAACTGTCTATCACCACAGCGATGCCTCCCCCATGTTACGTGATGGTGGCACTTGCAGACGGCTCGATTCACTGTCTGTACAGGGATTCACTCAAACAGGTGAACAAGAGAAATGTATCAGAGTTAATAAGAATTTTTGTGGTTCCGCTTCTCACCTTATATGGCCTTTACCTCCGTCTTTTTTGATGGCCACTTCTTCGGCCAGGCTTTCTAGCCTGAAACTTTTATTTTGTAGGTACAAGGAGCATAACATCTGTTGAGAATTCAGTAGGAAGTCTCATTATTAATTATATGAGCTTTCATAATATGAATAATATTATTATTATATATTATAATATATAATTATAATATATTATAATATTATTATAACACTCATAATATGAGTGTTATCAGCACTCAAAGAATTAGACACAATACACTGAAACAAAAGACTGCTTTCTTATTTGTGTCCTGCTACATATTATACTCTGTTCTGCTACTTGTTTTCACCTGGTCTGACCCTTGTTATGTAACTTTGAATCAGACAGCACTGTTGCATCATCCAAGCATCAATGACACTGCAATGCATTGCATACGAAATATGTCACATGACAGCCACATACTGTTGTGTGACATCACAGCGTGGCTATTGCATAGCGACAGCCTATCTGTGGACGAAGAAAGCACTGTTCCCATACTGTTGGTCGTGTGTGTGTTGTGGGCATTGTCAGGCAACGGGCATACTTGCTATAATATATTATGTTTATGCAACATATTAACACCCAATAATCCATTGTTATGCTAACCTGAGATTTTGTAATTTCAAATCTTTCATCTCACCTTTACATTACTTTCTTTTACATATAGAGATTAGTTGCAAAAAAAAAAGATCTTTTGGAATGTTACTGGCTACTTGATTGGTTTACTTCTTGGCCATAAAGCCAGAGGTTATACATTCTCAGAACCCCTGGTAAAGTTCTGCAGACTACATAGTGTTACATCTGGAAAGACAGTACTCTTCAGAGTTATCACTGTGAGGACCTCATACCTTACAACATGAATTATGCATAAATGTCAAAAATTTAATACTAGTACCACATACCATACCTTGAATCGGATCTCAGCAGCCAGGATAAAGTATCTCTGTCTGCAAGTTAAGTGACATCCATGTGAAGCTTCTCATTCTAGTTGAGCAGTGGCAAAGATGTTGCGTATCTATACTCATATCTGATGGATTTTTTGTATAATTTACATTAGAGTACAATAGTAATGATATCTAAAATCTAATAATTACTCTTTTAGAAACATATTCACATTGATATTACGTAGGGCGTTCAGGAAATAGTGCCTCCTATGTTTTTGTGCTAATATGTAATGTCTGACATGGATGTTGGTGGTGTTGTAGTAAAGGTTGAACCTTCCCGCCAATCTACTGTTAGTTTGGTTGTCGTGCGACAGATAGCGACAGCAGAGCAGTCTACCAAATTGTGTCTGACATAGAAGTGCATATGAAACACAGATGTGTTATTGAATTTCTCACTGCCGAACAAATTGTACCCACTGACAACCATCGACACTTGCTAAAGGTGTATGGAGACAATACAGTGGATGTCAGCACAGTGAGGCGGTGGGTAGCGCGTTTCAACAGTGGCGAAAGTAAAGTGCACGACAAGCCACGCCCTGGGCGTCCCTGCTCAGCTGCCACCCCTCACAATGAACAGCACCTCATCCGTACAGATCAGCACATAACGACCAGGGACTGTCAATTCTGAACGCTACAAGACGACACTGACTAAGCTGAAAGCCCACATTTCCCGAGTCAGGCCAGAGGAGCAGACAACCTTTCGCTTACAACATGATAACGCTAGACCCCATACCAGTTTGGTGACCACCGCGCACATTGCAAAGTTTTGCTGGACTGCCCTACCACATCCACCTTATAGCCCCGATTTAGCACCTTCAGACTTCCATCTCTCTGGGCCTATGAAAGACGGACTACGTGGGCAACATTTTCCAGACAGTGATGCTGTCATTGCAGCTGTAAGAAAGTGGCTAGCCTCTGCTGGCACATACTTTTACGGGCGCAGCATACAGGCTCTTGTTAATCGCTGGCAAAAGTGCATAATGAATGGTGGTGATTATGTGGAAAAATAATTGTAAGTAGCTGAAATCCTGCTATATTTAACTGCATTATTATGCTTTCTGTATCTGTTGTAGTTTTCTTTAAAAAAATAGGAGGCATTATATACAGAACGCTGTAATACTGTGTATGGGTGCTTGAGATATGTATTTTCTTATAAGGTATTGTCTGTTTTTTACACAAATTCTTTATTTACAAATATAAGAATGACCCTGCCGCATTTTGTGAAATGAATGTTATTGTATAGTCAGTTGAATGTGATACTGTGATATAGGATACAGCCTCTTCATTTCCAATTCACTCTATACAGGGTAATTCATAAGTTCCTACAGGATTTCTGAGCCCTGCAGTTCAGAAGTTCTGGAGGGATTTAATAAATTACCCTATATATAATCATCCCGTTATCTTGGTTGATGTAGAGTTGATGCAGTGTTTAGTGACCAGTGAGTACATAGTTAATACTGTTAAACAACCAAGGGATCAGGGTTCAATTCCCAGAAGGGGCAAGAAATTTTTCTCTTCTTCACAGTGTCTACGATGGTGCCAGAACCCACCCAGTCTCCTATTCACTGGGAGTAAAGTCACCAGGGCTTCAGGCTGACCATTCACCTCCATCTAGTGCTGAGGTTAAGGAAGTGTGGAGCAACTCGTGGAGTTGCGTGGAGCGTTCCCCCATACATCTTCATGTTGTGATGCTTAATTAAGCACAGAACAAATTTACCTATTCCTTTATGTTTTTGATTGTTGTCCTCAGGTTGCCACAGCATCACTGAACCAAGCATGGAGACAAGAGGAAGCCCCAACTTCAAAGCAGCAACGGCTTGGCTTAAGGATATCGCACCTCGACATGAGTTGGTTGGGCTGTATACTGGTGGCTGCAGACACACAGGGGCAGCTCTACCTTTATCGTCTCTTACCCATTGCAGAACCAGGTACCACACAACTGGACTAGTCATGTCTCAAGGCCTGCAATGTGACACTTTCTGTAATTGCTTCAGGCAGTAAAAGATATTTTATAGTATCATTTATCATATCTTAGTGTGATCCATAGCAGAAGTAAATAAAAACTCAGATATTTTTGTCAGATTTGAAGTTCTCATGTAAGTGTTTATGAACATTACTCTCTTCTTTGATGTGACCCTATGTGATCATGTAGGTTCCTACAAGCATTACAGCTATCTTCAGGACAGAAGACAAGTCTTTTTTCATGCTATAGGTTGAGTCTTCTGCCCTGAAGACAGAAGCAGGAGGTTCCTTCAAGATGTTGCTAACCATCTACCAGACTATATGGCATCTACAGTAATTTTCATTGAAAACACCATGAGGGAATATTACCCTATGTACATGAATTTAAGATAACCTCAAATCAGATGCTTAACCTTTTCAGTGCTACAGTCTGGCATAGCATATTATTTTTTTTTATTGCTAGTGGGGTGGGACTAAGTCCCTTGTACTGTGGCCACTTCTGGCCTATTGCACCAGCCCCAGATGATAGGCGAGGGTTATTGTGGAGCAATTGGTGGAATGAAGATTGTCAGGGGAAACCGAAGTACTCTGAGAAAACCTGCACCAGCGCCACTTTGTCCACCAGAAATCCCACTTGACCAGACCCGAGGTCAAACCCGGGCCACCGCAGTGGGAAGCCAGTGACTAACCACTTGAACCCTGGCATAGCATATGTCACAGGTGATACACACAGCTTGTAAATATTTAATCATTCTTTATTCACTCCACCTCCTTACAGACAGTTAAATAGCATATGAGGGCTGTCCCATAGCTCAGAAGTTTCATATGAGATTCATGGTGGCTGAAGTGACACTGGAGCAGTGTTTTCTCTTAATTTCTTCTCATTTCTCCATGTGATCATTCCACCAGTGCTCCATAATCATCTGTAACCAACCTCCGAGATGTGATAACCTTACAAGGCAGCACATCACATTCTGGTTCTCTAAGTCTGGGGCTTCGTCTCTAACCCAGTGCTTGGCTGGTTACAGAGTGAGGAAGTTAGAATTTAGATGGGGTGTTCATATATGTAGGTCGTCCAGAAAGTAGAGACCTTCTGGTGAGTAAAAAGAAATACATGAATGAAATAAAAAATATTTTACATCATTACTGCAGACCATAAATCATTTTTCTACATAATCTGCATGAAGACTGAGGCACTTATATTCGTGTGACACAAGTTTCTGGTTGCTTATATCATAGAAATCTGCCACCAGTCCATTGAACCTGTCTTTTAACTGTCTTCTTCACCTCCACATCACTACCCATAAACTGCTTCGATTATTTTAAGAAATGAAAATCAGACTGGAGGCGGGGATGAGAAAGAAATGTTCAAGGCAAAATGCAAATGCTACGAGCAAATGGTCTTTACTTTCTGGACAACTCTTGTGGTATTGCCACTGGAGCAGCTATTGAAGTAGATGCTATACACAACCCAGATACATATTCAGAAAGCAAAATATGGACAGCATACACAGCCAACAAGATATTTAATATTGAAAGGGTTAAAATGCCATGTAAGAAAACTATTTTCTTTAACGGTTGTAGTCGCATGCATTTGACTCAGAAATACTACATGTTTTATGCTTCTGCAGCCTGTGTATCTATGGGTCGGCATAGCTGTGCCCCCATAAGTGATATTCCCTCTCTTACCCAGGGTTTGTTGGGTTGCTGTGTTTGCAGGAGGCCCTATGACAGTTCCATATGCTTGTACACTTCTGGAGTACTGTCTAGTGACAGGACTAGACTGGTGGGACCTCCTTGTGTCATTACGTCCTTCCATGATGGATACGGTGTGTGAACGTTTCACAGAAAGTTTCAATCGGCAGCTGCAACACGTACAACAGTTCCACTACGTTCAGTTCCTCAACATCAAGACATCACTGTACAGGTGCCAAAGTTCAATCCTCATTAGGACATTTTTTTCCTTGGCACTACAACCCCAGTGGGCCTAGGCCTACCTCCATGAATTTCTCCGTTCACTTCGGTTTTTCTAGATCTTACACATTCAGTAGGACTCCTTGGGCGAGTGATCAGCTCGTCGCAAGGCCTCAACCTGTAGACAAACACAGAAAAACGCACACAAACATCCATGCCCTGAGTGGGATTTGAACCCACGATCCCGGCTTCCGAGCGAGCGAAGACAGTGCATGCCTTAGACCGCTCGGCTACCGTGACCGGCCATTAGGACTTTACCATTCTTATATTTCCCAGTTAAGTGACTGTCACTGCATGTGGTTGAGAAGTCCTAAAACACTTCCCATTGTAATGAGTTTATTACATAACAGAACTAGCATAAAGCTTGTTGGAATCTTAATGGAAAATTATCAAGAATTAACTCCTTAAAAGCTGTGTAATGTCAATACCTTGATAAGTTCTGAAAACACAGCTAAATTCATATAAGGCTTGACATTTTAATGGCTGTGATTATTAAGATTGTAACCTTCTCAGGTGTGACACTGTAGTTTTGTGGGTGGATACAAGTGTTTTGGAGCGCCTCTGTCTTCAGGAATGATGTGTGCAGATTCAGGAATAGGTGAGTTACAAGGAAGGCATAAAGAAAGGAACCTAATCTTAGCCAGATTAGGAAACAGGACAGCGAGGGAGGATAGACCTTTCCAGGTATGCAGTACTGTTTTTAGGAGGAAAGTGAAATTAGGTCACCTGCCTTATAGTTTGCCTACATAACCAAAAGTATTCCTGAGCATACACACTTCAACCCTGAAGATGGAGGCAGCACGTTGCTCCAAAATTTCAACTCAGAAGATCACAATCTGAACCCTTTGTCTGTGAATCCTTACCATAGAACTACCTGCTAGAAAATGCCAGGACCACTTTTGAATAAATGCCATTCGACACAACCATACATGACTTCTGCAGATGATCTTTGAACGACCACAGATTTAGATAGCCTGAAAGCCTGTTATCCCCTGTACACAACAGTAGTAACACTTGATTAATGCCTTGTGTTGATGGAAATTCTGTACTAAGTGATCAATGCCAAGCCAGTCTCTTCAGCTCAGGCAGTTTTGATGCAGGTATGTCGAGCTGATCTAGGGATAGTGCGGTCAGTGTAGCGGGTTGGAGTTCAAGTCCCGGTAGGATCAAGAATTTTCTCTTCTCCGCATCATCCACACTTACTCTGGGGCCTACCCAGCCTCCTATCCAGTGGGTACCAGGGGCTCTTTCTGGGGGGTAAAATGGCCAGGGCGTGAAGCTTACCACTCACTCCAACTAGTGCAGACATCAAGAAAATATGTATTGATACATCCACTCGCCCATGTGTCTCCATGGTGTAGTGCTTAATTAGTTAAGCACAGGGACATCTTTACCGTTTTATATTGAGCTGATGTAATCAGCCCATGACTTACAAGGGGTTAATAGCTACATTTACACTAATGCTAATATTTGTATCTTACACTGTAACAGTGTAACAGTGCAGAACTGTTGTGGTGAGGCTGCCCAGAAGAATGAGTGGAGAGGCCTAATAAGGCCGGGGTGTGACAAGTTATTTGGCTTTGTTTTCCAGACTGACAGTGAATGGACAGTCCAAAGCAGCAGACCTAACATCTCTCCTCATGTTGCATTCTGTAGCAACAGCATTCAAATCCCTGCTACGACCTTCGGACCTCTCAAGTCATGACAAGGGACCTGCCGAAAGTCTGGCCGGTAAGTACTTTGTAACGTGAAGATACCATGAATTTCTTTATGCTTTATTTTACAGTGCTTCCAGTCCCACGAACTATATATAGCACTGAATAATGGAGCGTGTCCCAGAATTCTCCTGCAGGGACTGAGAAAGACGAAAAATCTCATGGTATCTGGTGTTTTGACCTCCAAGATACAAGTCAGAAGAATACAGTTTATCAGTGTGTTATTCAGTTATATGTACACCCCGTCAATAATGAAACAATGATATTTGAAATAAATAAAATAAAAGACACATAAAACATATTCTTCACTAAAAGTGTAGTTTTTATACTTTAAAATGCTATTAAATATTATAAAATACCATTAAGACACTACATGTATATTGTTTACACTAAAAGTGACTATTAACCACTCTAGAATGTCTCCAATTTATATCATATGTTCTAATTTTCAACTTGCTTCAGCCACACATGGGCCATCATCAAGCAAACTTTTTATTGGTGAGGAGACCACTGTACTGTTCGCTTGTCTTCCATGATCTCCGGCATTTCACTTTTTGTTGTGTCATATCTAGAACTCCGTCATTGTCTTCTTTTTGTGGCTGTCACAGTTTTGTATGTTGTTTTCTCTAGTATGTCTGTCTTTAGTGCAGTCTTCTCACATATGTGGCCAAAGCATGTTGTGAATTAGAAGAACATATTGTGACGTGTTGCACTGTGGATGACGCCCCTCCCTCCTCGTCAGCCGTGACGTGCTGAGCAGAGCCGAAGTGAGCTGAGTCCTAGCAGGCTGGTCGCTATGCAAAGCGAATAAACACCGGTTGCTAAGCAAAGTGAGTAAACAGCGGTTGCTAGAGACGGCGGTAATAACAGCGGTACCCATTATGTAACAGGCAAACATGGCGTCAGACAACAGTGGTGCCTATTATGTAACTGCTTTCCCGTTATCCGGCTGAGGGTTTATAAGGGAACTACACAGCTGCCGAAGACAGAGTTCTCAAGGCAGCAGCCTACGAGTTGAGTTGGAATCTAGCCAACAGTGAGCCGTTAGAGTTGAGTTGGAATATAGCAGCCATCACAGAAAGAAGAACCGGATGTGTATGTGATAACTGAGTAATAATTGGGAGTGTGTGATACAGTGACACTTGTATAGCTCCCATATCGTAATTAATACGTGTAGACTACTGAGGACAGAGTGAATTGATTAGTGCATAGGGTTTGTAAACTGTGGAAACCCGCAACAGTGTTGTAATTAATTGTAGCCGAGGCTGGTAGGTTGTTAAATAAACCAATTGACAATCCGAACGGCGTCTTCAGTAACTAAACACGTTACAATATGAAATAAATTGAAGAAATTCTAGAGTATTTAATAGTCACTTTTAGTGTAAATGATATACACGTAGTGTCTTAATAACATTTTAAAGTATAAAAACTACATTTTTAGTGAAGAATGTATTTTAGGTGTCTTTTATTTTATATAATTTTCCTGGGGAGTAAAGCGCGGCTGGCGCGTAAGGCTGACAACCTTACCACCATCTTTGAGCTGATTGTCTAGATAATGTGGGACCCTCAACGTCTCACAACCCTATGGGCCTTCACAGCCTGTTACTGGGATAGTTTTACTTTTTTTTTTATTTTAAATATCGTTGTTGCATTATTGACTGTGTACACATAACTGAATAATACCTCAATGTAACAGGATGCTGAAATATCAATATCAATGTGGCGTCTTAAATGCTGCAGAAAAGAGGCGTAAATAATTGAAGTGAAGCTTTGAAACAATATGCAAAAGTAGCGTAATGAGCTGCTTGTTCTCCTGAACATCTACTTACATGAGACACTGTCGTAGCGGTGATGATGGACTCTCTGACAGACGTGGACAAGGTGCTGTTCCACCTGGAGGCAAAGGAGTTCACAGTGGAGCCAAGCACTCTTCAGTCACTGCAACAGCTGATCCAGTGGGTGGCAGATCTGGCTCTCAATCTGTTGGCGAGACTGCCAGAGCAACGGCAGCCTGGCAAGAGCTCTGGGGTGAGACACACATTCCATTATTAATAGTCACATAATTGATACTGTTAAATTTGTTCAGAAAAATTTATGCAAAACATATCATGTGGAACAGTAACAGAATCAAGGGTTGTCTGGGATGTGATACCGTATAGTCTGGTAGAATATTGGCCGTGCAGATGATTCTTCATATTGGCAGGTTACGCTGCGGTCACAGACAAAGCATCAGTAGTGTTCACAATGTTACTGCATTTTCTTCTTGTTTGAACTCCCTGTACTAAGAGCATTCCCTAAATTTCACAGTATGAGTTGCTACGCGATTATAAGGCTCTCAATACACTTCGAGAGCTCCTGGTCATTATCCGGATTTGGGGCCTGCTGCGTCAGAGCTGTCTGCCCGTGTTCGTCCGCAGTGCTGAGAATCTTGACGTGTTGGCTCTTCTGTTCAAACTTCTTTCACGCCTTATACAGACTTCAGAACCTGATGAAAATCTCCTAGGTAATCTTGCCGCTCTAACGCTATGTTGCATGACAAAATATTCTTATTTTCTTGTGTGTGTTATAGTTGGGATGGCTCAATCGGTGTATCAGTGAGCTGCAGACTGGAGAGCAGGGGTTCAAATCCCAGTAGGGGCAAGATTTTTCTCATCTCCACAATGTCCAGACTGGCAGTGGGGCCCACCCAGCCTTCGGTCCAATAGGTACTGGGGACTCTTTCCCTCGGGGTAAAATGGGAGGGGCATGAAGGTGACCACTTACCTCCATCTAGTGCTGAGGTCAGTATGGTGGCACTTTACCTCCACTCCTTATACATGTATATCTGTATGGCATAAAGCTTAATTAATTGAGCACAGGGACAACTTTACCTTTATGTGTGTTTTATTGTGACCATGAATAAACTTAAGAATATGGTCTTCTGATGTGTGATTTTATGTAATATATGGTTCTGAGGAACCTGCTGCCTCCAAATTCATCTGAAGATGTGTATAAAATACAGAAAACAAATTGTAAAACCCTGTTCTCCAAGCTGGAATATACACATCTGTTGTTTGAGTTGGTAATTATTTTCAAGAATTCAGTACAGCTTTCAAGTAATGTTCAAAAGTGCAATTTATAAAATTAACCCATTTGTTTGGTCATTTATCAGTGCATAGGAAATTATGTTTTTGCACTGCTAATTGTAATGATCCCTTGGAACCCTGTAGAACAGTCTTGGGAATCTCTGCTTTACTGAGGAAACTGTTCTTATTATTATGACCCAGATCTTAAACGCACTATGTATATTTTGATGTGCAGAGTCTGATTATAACAATTGTCACGTGTTCGTAAGGATGTGGTCACACAGGAAACTGTGGAGATAATGTTAAGTCACATCCTGCATCATTCCGTGCATCACTGGACTATGGAACTTCTTGTTATTGTCAGCCTTTAACATTTGCTGTAAGATATGTTGATTTGGCTTTCTGAAATGCATACCAGTGTTCTATCATGAAGATTATTAATGTCTTCTGGGATGTGGTACTGTGGATTTCTTTGGGGGGGGGGGTTATTTAGTGACACTTTGAGAATCAAGACTATGTTTAGATGACTGATGAGTTGGAAGGGATTTGGAAGGAGCTACCATAGCATAATGGAGATGCTATTTTTGACATTTGCCTGGTAAGACAGGCAAAAACTACAGAAAACCTGTCCTACCTGGGATTCAGACTGATTACCTCCTAAATACGTACATAGCGAGTTATCTCAAGATTAGTGTTTTATGTGGCACCATGGAGTCTGGTAGATCATTACCAGTGTTTCAGATAACCTACTGCCTCCATCTTCAGGGTGGAATAATGTCACTTCTCTAAAATTATGATACAGTGTCAAATCAAGAAGTTCTGTGAAAAACTAATGATATTGACTTCCCTTCAGAATATCTAATCCATATAGAGAAGTTAATGGGAATTATGAACTCGTAATTATACATCTATCTTAGTGCAGTGTTCCAGTAGGAGGCTACAGCAATGTACTTCTTGGAGGTCATTACATAACATTAATGTTTCACATTGACACAATTTATTATAATTTTTATCACAGGAAAAAATAGAAGAATGTATTTCAGAATGTCACATTAAAATCTGATGCTGACAGATGAGACAAGGAGAACATACAGGGCACAATCTGCCAATCTGCGTTAATCGGCCCAGTCCCAGACGCAAGCTATTTTTGCCTTTTCACCAGTCATCAGGTCCCTGCACTCAAAACTTACAGGGAATTCTGAATATTACTTCATATCAGAATCTTCTGTTAAACTCCATGGAATACAGTTCAATCAGGCCAAAGACTATTTTACAGTTTTCCTCAGTCTCTCAACTGTAAATGATGGGATAGTACCTTAAATTAGGTTTTTCAGTGGGGCCAAGAATAGCATGTTGGCTACGGGCTAGATGGCCAAGGAATAGGGGTTTGATTCCCAGTGGGGCAAGAGATTTTTCATTTCTCCATAATGTCCATATTGGCTCTGGGGCCCATCCAGCCTCCTGTACAGTTGGTACCAGGGACTGTTTCGTTGGGAGTAAAGGAGAAGCAGCATGAAGCTGACCACTCCCCTCCATCTAGTGCAAAGGTGAAAAATGGTGGAACTACACCTCTATCCCCTATATGTCTTCATGGCATGGTGCTTAATTAATTAAGCACAGGCATAGCTTTATCTTACCAGTGATTTATTGCGATATAGTCTGAATTACTAGCATTAACATAAAATGAACTATGGACTGCTAACAAAAACAGCTGAAGTGTTCCGGGATTTCCCAACAGATGAAGGTGTGAAAGAAATACTTTTTTGCCTCCTTTGAAGCAGTGGTATGAGTGAGGAAACAGCGATTCTCACAGAAGTGTGAAGCATGAGGAGAGGTACCACTGCATGCACTTTGTGCCACTCTTGCACAAACTGCAGTGACTAGCATATGTGGTATCAACTGTTTCCAGTTTTGAGGTGTGTGGATTTCATTCTCACAAGTGCTTTCAGTTGCAAGTTTTCACTGTGTTTCACTGCATTGACCCATAGAGGGGTGTCCAGATTAGTAGCTAAATGCCTTTGTAAGAAAGTGTAACAACAGTTCAAGATGGTGTCCGGGTCCGACTTGGAACATCATGAAGAGGAATCCAGAAAATATGCCTGGACCATTCCAATAGCGTGTGGCATATTCACTTTCGTCTACTGGTTCATCTTGACTCCAATTTTGTGGAATGCACTCAATATAGACGATGACTCTGAGACATTTGGTATTTTCATGATGGCAATGGCAATTTTCTGGTGTGTATTTGTGGGACTTTTCATGTGTATTTGGTGGTTCAAGAGGCGGTCTGATAAACCATGTAAGGAAAAGGCAGTCAAAGACCTTGTGTCCATCGTGAAGAAAGACTCTGTCGACAGCGCGAGTAACGGTAGTGAATCTCCGCCATTCCCGACCATAACTAAAATGGTTCAGCCGTTAGATACCCCCATCTCATACAAGGAACGCTGTAGCCTCAATAGGCTGCATTCAGGCTCGGAGAAGGACCTGACTACCATATCGCTCAGCAGCTATCCTCTCCAGCTCGAGAACACTCCGTCCCTCTACAATGCCAAGACTGGACGGCAGAGCTTTGAGCCAGGTTATACAGATAGCAGTAATGTGTCTATTCCAGATGCAACCAACAGTTCTTCAACTAAGGGAACAGGCATCTTGATGGTGAAGAAGTCCAACTCAGCAGGGAAGAGGGTATGCAGGAAAATCTCTTCCACAGACTCTGAGGGAGAGAAGGGGGATTCACCAGGATGTGGTGGCACCATTGCTGTGGAAACAGCCATAATAGAGCATGACACTCAGAATATTGACGTGCCAGACCCCTCAATTGAAGCTGTGAACAACTCTCACTTTCCAAGACTCTGTAGCAGTGACTCATTTTGCGGCCTGCCGGAAATGAACTCATTTGATGGATATTTGCATCTCACTACAGTTGATACTCCTATGTCACCGCCCACCGAAGTAACATGTCCGAACTCTTCTGGCCTGACACCACGAGAACTGTTCTTCATTGATCTGATCAAGCAAGCAGAAGAAAATGAGAGATCACCAGGCATCAGAAGGAGCACAGGAGATGAGGTTGTACCAAGGAGTAAGTCCACTTCAGAGAACCGGAAGAGCATGCCCCTCTATCTGTACCTGATCAACAGTCCCTCGTCTACTGCAGATGTACCCAGTATGCCATCTGCAGCAGGTTGCCATTTGGACAACAAAGACCCAATGTCTGTCACAGATAGCGAGGCAGCTCGTGAAGTCACCAGTGATGAACTACAGAGCAATTTGAAGAGGTCTGAGAAGAATACAGAATGGGAGTGCATTGACCCAGTAGGCTTACATCCTGAAGAAGGCAGGACAGTCGCAGAGACTGCAGACACCGTGAATGGCAAAGATGATTCTGCAGGAGAGTACTTCATAGCAAATGTTACTCGTAACAAGAGCGTCACGTCGGAAATGTACCTAAACATTGGGGAAGATGGTGATAAAGCAGTGGAACCGGGCACTGCTGTTCAGTGGGATCTGGTGGTTGGTGATTCACATGATGATGATTATTTGAGTGATGACTGTGTGTTTGAAGATGATGTTGCTGTCAAGAAAAAGAAGAAATAATACAAACAGTAGTTCCAGAAAATGTCTATGTTGATGGTGACAAATGTGACTGATGTGGAGGGTTTTGTTAGGCCCGCCGATATGTTGTGATCATGAGATAAATAAAGATATGTCGTTATGTGCTGTTGTTATCACCCATAACCAAGTTCTGTGGTAGGAACTGTAGGATGTAATGCTGTGTGTAATCTGGTAGATCATTACTGCTGTTTTGGAGGAAACTGCCACTTCCATCTTCAGGATAGAAGAGTAAGCTGATCTTGGAACATATAGTATGGATATACGGAGAGGGGTGGTCACGGTAGCCAAGCGGTCTAAGGCATGTACTGTCTTCACTCACTTGGAAACCGGGATCGTGGGTTCAAATCCCACTCAGGGCATGGATGTTTAGTTTGTGTGTGTGCGTTTTTCTGTGTTTGTGTACAGGTAGAGGCCTTGCGACAAGCTGATCACCTGCCCAAGGAGTCCTACCGAACGTGTAAGATCTAGAATAACTGAAGTGAACGGAGAAGTTGATGGAGGTAGGCCTAGGCCCACTGGGGCTGTAGTGCCAAGGAAAAAAAAAATGGAGAGGGAGAACTTCTACCATGAAGATGAAGGACGCATGTTCTTTCTGAATATACACACACTACATGGTGTCAGATTACAGAAGAGAAAGTTATTACCATGAAAGCCTCAAATCTCTCAACCTATAGGATGCCTGCTTTCTTGTAGATGCTGACATCTGAACAAGAGCAGCTGTAAATTAAAATTATGTTATTTGTTTATATATATTTGCCACTGTCTGCTTGTGTAACTGAACAGGTTGGCACAATGATTAGCAATAGCACATCAGGTTTGTATGTGGAATGTACCTGGCTCAAAATTTTGGATGTATTTTTGAGGGGCAGAGAAAATTGAAAAGCACTTATATAAGTTCTGTCATGTTGTGCTGTTTTACTGTTCATCTGCCAGTATGCAACAGGATCCAAACTGACCACTGACCAATTTTAATCACACTTATCGCAGTGGAGTTTAACTCAGAATTTCCGAGCCATTTTGATTGTACAGTAAACTCTCATTATAATGAATTTTGGATATAGTGGGCAAAATATAGTTGTGTACAGTTGTGAATTTTTAAGAGATGTTGAGCCACTAAGAAGGTTTTATAGTTATAAAACTATTAGAATGAAAGAGAACCCTAATATTAAAACTTCTATCTAATCAATCACATTGTGTGTTTCTGTGTTTACGGCATGTATTGGTTATATATTCCATAGTGGACTTCCATGAATACCCCTTCATTCAGTTATGGCAGATACTGGCAATAACAGACACTCTGTCCCCCCTGTTAGTCCATTATAACAAGGGGTTACTGTATTTCGGTTTGATCATTTTAAGTGTTTAAATAGAGCTGACTCTTTCAACAGGATTTGATAAAATTTATGTTAAGTCACTTATATGACATGAGTGTTACTATATATAACTTTTGATCAATTTACTTAAGGTGGATTGGATTCTTATGGCTAAGGATATTGTTGTAAATACATTAATAAACCTTCAGAGGTACATTCTGATTCCATCTTCAGGGTTTAACAGTCCCTTCAACTCTGAAGATGACTGTAGCATGTACTTCCAAAATATCCGTGGCTCTGCCTACAATCAAAGACCCAAGAGCACAACCAGCATAATGTCTGAAATACTGTGAAAGCCTAAAACCTGTAATATGAGCTTTATTACAGCCTAGTGCGAGTTTGCATCTTTGTTATTTTGTGACAGTGTCAATAATGAGACTATATGTAGTCAGTGATGCACATCCACATGGAGCAGTCAACAGAATGAGATCTGGCAGGGGAAACTGAAGAACTCAGAGAAAACCTGCCCCACAGCCACTGTGACCACAGCAGAATCTACATGACCTGACATGGGATTGAACCGGGGCTGCCACAGTGGGAAGCTGGCAACTAACCACATGAGCCATAGCATGGCCAGCCCAGTGTGGGAAAATTGACACAGGAAATTTAATTTTGCACACAGCATCACTGAAAATAAAACAAGATAAGATGTGTAATTGTTTCTAAACATCGAATAAAACACTCACATGTTTACAGACGAATGCTGCCTGCTTCCGAGTCAGGTAATGATTCCCCAGCTGAACCCATCCACCAAGATCGTTGCAGTGGCCTCTCCTGCACTATTCTATCAGTCGCTGCCAATACAGGTGGGTATCACAATGTGGTGAAGGATCCAGCATTAAAAATATACTTGTTTTATGAGGCTTATACTTTCAGTGATACTGCCCATAAAGGTAAAGACAGAAGGAGTTCCTGTGCTTAATTAAGCACCCCACCATGAAGATATATAGGAGAGTGGAGCTATAGCTCCACACATTCTCATTCTTGGCATTAGCTTCACATTCCAGCTGCTTTAAGATCTATTTTAATATTATCCCCTCATGCATGCCCAAATCTTCCTAGTTGTCTGCATGCTCTTCTCTCCTACACGTACTACATGACCCACCCATCTCATCCTTCATTTCATCATCCAAATAGTACATGGTGGAGAATTACAAATTATGAAACTTCTCATTATGCAGTTGTCTCCAGGCACCTGTCACTTTGACCTATAGTATTTTTTTTATTGCTAGTGGGGTGGGACTAAGTCCTTGTACTGCAGCCACTTCTGGCCTCTTGTATCAGCCCAAAATGATAGGTGAGGGTGATTGTGGAGCAATTGGTGGAATAAAGATTGGCAGGGGAAACCGAAGTACTCGGAGAAAACCTGCCCCACCACCACTTTGTCCACCACAAATCCCTCTTGACCAGACCCGGGATCGAGCCCGGACTGCCACGGTGGGAAGCCAGCGACTAATCGCTTGAGCTATGGCGTGGCCCATCTGACCTATAGTAACTTTCAAACCAACTAACTGATGTAAGATTTGAGGCTTTCACGGCGGTGACTATGAAGAAAGCAGTCTTCTGGGATTTGGCACCGTGTATATGTGGTGTTAACCGACGTTTCGGAGGAACGTATCGCCTCCATCTTCAGGGTAGAAGAAAAAGTATAAGAAATCTGTAAGCGACAAGACCGTGAGAATGGTAAAAGCAGACCGGTCTGCTTTTACCGTTCTCACGGTCTTGTCGCTTACAGATTTCTTATACTTTTTCTTCTACCCTGAAGATGGAGGCGATACGTTCCTCCGAAACGTCGGTTAACACCACATATACACGGTGCCAAATCCCAGAAGACTGCTTTCTTCAACTAACTGATTTTCATGAAACTTGGTACCCTCCTTTGTATTTCTTAGTTTCCTGCCATTGGTAATACAAACAGAAAAGTCTCTGAGAACCCAAGAGGTTGGAGCAAGAGTAATACAGAATTGTGAGATCTGCTGAGTTTGCTGCTGTGTATAGTGTGTTATAACAATAAGACTGCCATGTAAAGCTTATACTTTGCTTGAAATTTGATGGTCGTAACAAATGAACCTGTACAACTAGGCAGGTGAAGACCTGACTGGAGACAGATAGTAATCACCTGCAGTGTTAGTCTTTGTTAAAAATTAAAACAAGGGTTAGTATGAAGTTTCAATAATATATCTCACAAATTTTTAAAATCATGAATCTGTATGAGCAAAAATTATGGACAGAAATGTATGTCTACGCTGTATAATTATATTAACCATATTTCCATAACTACTACTTATCTTTCCAAACTGGAATATGAAATCAGAATTTCTACAGACATCTAAGGCAAGTGAAGGACATGTTTGATAACACAGCATAATAAATTTTATCATTTTATTTTTTAATAATGTGAAATAAACAACAGTTATAATATATATGACACATAACATGTACAGTAATTTAGTTGTCCTATGTTTTACATATGTGAGACATGAACATACATACCACATATTACACAGTTTGATATAATGATGTTTTTTTATTCATTGATAAAACGTTTCTCAAAAAAAAATATGACAAAAATACAAAATTTGAAACAGTCTGTTTTGGCCTTAGAATTTAATGCACAAAACTGTAATGTGATGGAAAATTTGTGTGTCTAGATTTGGAATCAGAGCAACAGAATTAATTTTAAAACTTCATTTTCTTTTATGTTACCATAACCTTAGTTACTGTAGTGCATCCCGTGGTATGCATCGCATGGTTAATATTATGAGTTTCGCATAAAACACTGTTCGAAATTTCAACCAAAGACATTGCGTATATTTAGAGAAAGTTATGTCACTTACCTTCCTTTAGGCCGTGCCATAGCTCAAGCGGTTAGTCACTGGCTTCCCACCGTGGTGGCCCGTGTTCCATCCCGGGTCTGGTGAAGTGGGATTTGTGGTGGACAAAGTGGTGCTGGGGCAGGTTTTCCCCGAGTACTTCGGTTTCCCCTGCCAATCTTCATTCCACCAATTGCTCCACAATCACCCTCACCTATCATCTGGGGCTTGTACAATAGGCCAGAAGTGGCCGCATTACAAGGGACTTAGTCCCACCCCACTAGCAATAAAAAATAATAATACCTTCCTTTACCATAAATGTAAGGCTGTTTGTTCTGATACATTGCAGCTTGAGTTTGGAGTAGAACCTGAGTCCCTGTACTTTGTGCCAGAGCTGAGCCCCGTGGAGGGCGCCATGCAGACAGAGCAGACAGTAGACAGCATCCGGCACATCTACTTGGGAAGACAGCCCCTCGTGGTGAAACAGTGCAGCAGGTAACCACTGTGTGTATCTGAAATGTTGCAGAATATTCAGGTATAAGCAGATCTTATGGTTTCTTCTCTAGCAGCATCTTCATTCTATTTATTAATATTTGGTTTATTTCACAACGCTGTCAGTAGTTCAGACTGTACAGCATCAGATGGCAAGATGATCAGTGAATAAAAACTTTGAAAGGATCTGGAACGAAATGATAATAGCCTAATTCTAAGGCATGCGGTAGCGTAGTTGGTTGGGGCACTATGCTACAAGCTGGAAGGTCGCGGGTTTTTGAGTCCCGATGCGGTGAATTTTTTTCAATTGACCTAATCCTTCCAGCCACACCCTGGGGTCAACTCAGCCTCTAACAGAAATGAGTACCAGGAATCTTCCTGGGGGTGAAGAGCGGCAGGCGCATAAGGCTGACAACCTTACCGTGATCTGTGAGCCGATTGTCTAGAAGATGTGGGAGCTTGAACATCTCACAACCCTATGGGCCTCCATGGCCAGTTACAGGGATAACTTTACCTTTTTACTATCCTGAGATTTGGTTTTAGGGACCCAGAAAAACCATGGAAGACCTCAACGAAAAAGTCAATGTCTCAGAGCTTGCCCCAGATGCATGTCAGAAGCCTTACTATTGGAGCCACAACTTGACATAATTCTTATATATATATGTATATATATTTGCTCGGTAATACTTTTTTTGTCCCATCAGCATCAGGAGTATGTTAATTTGGAAATTTAAGACCATGGTCTATTATTATTATTAGTTTGTTTTTACTGCAATTGGGTGTTCACCTAGTGGCAGTAGATCTTACACTGATACAGACAAGGAAAGGCTATACATAAAGGGAACAATATAAAACAGAGTACATACAATAAACAGGGTACACACAGTGCAAATCCAGTGCTAATGTGTTTTCAGGTGTGGGTGTAAGGCTCAGGTGCAAAGCATGACACGTACAGCTGCCATACGCGCATGGGACCAGCGATGGGCACGGGCATGCAGATGTGGAGGTCACTGGAGGATACACAGGTTTCTCTGACTCAGCGACAGTGACAAAATTCGAACAATTTGGTCAGATTTTGTTGAGATGAATCATGTAAATCATTCCCATCAGTTACCATAGAAATGAATGCTGTATCTGTGTAGTTTGTAGTAAATGGTACATGAATACAACTTCCTACTCAACTAAACTCTGTGAGGTTTTTTAATTTTGGGTTGTGCAACATTCTGTATATTCACAGCTGTGGGCATCAGAAGGTAAACCTGACCTCAGGGCCAAGATCGATCTTTGTCTGGATGAGGCCCCACCATAGCTCAAGCGGTTAGTCGCTGGCTTCCCACTATGGTGGCCCAGGTTTGAGCCCAGGCCTGGTCAAGTGAAATTTGTGGTGGGCAAAGTGGCACTGGGGCAGGGTTTCTCCGAGTACTTCGATTTCCCCTGCCAGTCATCATTCTACCAAATTCTCCATCATCATAATCACCCAGGGTAGATACAATAGGCCAATCAGTGGCTGCCATGCCCAGCTGGACTACACCCCCCATTATTATTCCTTGTCTGGAATGATATTAGGTGTTAGAATTAATAAGGGCAATGAAGAGTTGCATCTCCTGTGATGTGAAGCCATGCAGTATAGAAGTGTACCTACAGCGCAGAGGAATGTGCGGCCTTGATCTTCAGCGCGCCGAGACTTCTGCTGGATTATGTAACATCACGTCCCAGAACACTGCGCTCTTCACAGTTAATGCTGCTGTGAAATCCCCAGAACCAACATAATAAAAGCAGTGAACATATATAATTTTTACCATTAATGAAACTATAATTTATTATTTATTTATTTATTTATATAGCACGCAATACATGTTTCGACCTAAAATGGGTCATCTTCAAACACAAGGCTACTTGCAGCTTATAACATTTTTAAATATCATTTTTAAATATCAAATTGCGGATTTAGGATTACCTAATTATTAAATTAGTTTTAACCTTTTGTTATGTATACGGCTTTATCATGTGTACAATTTTTATTCTCATCTTATTGTTAATTTTAACCAAAGTTTAGTCTAAGTTTTGTTTAGATTTTGAATTGAATAGAAACTTAAGTGGTATGAACTATTTATAAAAATGAGAATTTTAGCATTACAGTTTGTCAATAGTATGTGAGAAACTTGCAGCACCTGAAGATGACCCATTTAAGGTCGAAACATGTACATGCTATATAAATAAATAAATAAAAAAGTATTGTTGCATTGATGGTAAAAATTATATTGTATTATATATTATATATTGTATTGTATTAAATTGTATGTATGCAACAGGATGCAATCCTTAAAAATAAAAAAAAATGAAGGCAACTCACTAAAAGACAACACTGTACCCATTATCCTCATCTTACTTTATGTTCCTTCATTTTTCCACTTTTATGTGCATTGTCTGAAAACCAAGTCTCTGCGTATATCTTGGTCTCCCTAAAATTGCATCCCATTGTGCTTCTTTTATGTGTGTCATTATTCCTAATTTGTTTTTTTTTTTTCCTCATTTTTGTCATGTTCTTCATGGTTGTTTTTCTTTTATTTTCATGCCTAAGGATTCTCTCATCATTCATTCATGAAACATGCCCATGCCATTTACTTATTTCTTTTAATTTATCTTCAGATGTATACATCATTAAGTTCTACTTTTTTCATTTCATATACCGTCTCTCTGTCTGTCTGTCTCTCATCTATTAATGTCTCCCTTGTGACAAGAACCCTAAAAATTGCTAAATGGGCTCTGATGAAGCTGTGACGTGCATAGGAAGTCAATCATGAATTCTATTCCCGGCGCTACCACATTTTCTGAGAAGTAATGGTCTGGAACAAGGTCCACTCATCCTCGTGAGGATAATTGAGGTGCTATTTCAAGGAAGTAGCGACTCCGGTCTAGAAAACAGATTAACGGCCGTGGGGATTTGTTGTGCCGACACATGACAACCTCTATCCACAAAAGTTGGCGCTAACTTCGCCGACAAGCAGCTGTCATTCGGGCCATGAGGTTTTTTTTTCAACACTCAACCAAACCTGAGGAGACTCGATGATGCAGCTCAGACAGCTTAGTAATGTGAAATGTACAAGAATTGGAAGAATAATTATAATTACCTTCAATGAACCAGGGAGACCCAGAGGAAATAAATGGATTCAGTAAACATGTATCCTACATAAAGCCACCTTTTTGCAGAAATTTTCCAAGTATCTTCTGCCTATCCAGTCCCTTACCACTCTAATGGCTGTGTAGATGCTGCATAGCAGGGCTGTGATCCTATAACCTGAGAGTCCCAGTTAATGTGGGACTGCCTGCAGCCCAGCAGGGTAAACCTCGGGTGTGCCAGGACACGTAGGGAGCAGGCAACGTACTGGCTGAACCATCAGTTGAATGGGGATCTGAAACTCTGTTTTTATGACAGGATCCTTCATGAGGGATCTGTGAGAGATCTGTCAGGTGGCTGCAGGGGACCGGAGGAGCAGAAGATAAATCTGTAACTGGGAAGAGGTTTGTGACGCCCCGTAACGCAGGACTTTCCATACAGTACGGACAATTCTTCATAAGATGAGGCACCGACTACACAATTAATTAATTTGCAACATCATGGGCCTCATATACATTCTTATATAAATGAAATATCGAACTTCCAATTGGTCCATAGAAACATGTGGAAAGTAAAAAATCAATGACGGATTCAATGTTGTATAACATTAATTAAGTTTTATCTTGTTTTATACAATAACTTTCAGTTTTTTATATAATCTGACTTATTGTATTTTTACACAAAGTATTTTAACATTGTATCCAATCTATTGTACAGCAGTTCAATAGTGTATGTTAGTTGATATGTGTTTGCCTGATGATGGCTGTTAGTGGCTGAAACATGTAGCGAAGCCCTGGCTTTTTCTATTTGTTGTGTTTTGATGGTCTATAAAAGAATTGAACATAACACAGATTAGAGTTATGAAAGGAGAGAGAGGGCAGGAGAAAACAGAGGAAATGTTTCTCCCGTTGAATTTCATTGGGACTTCTCCATTCATGTAACTACATACAGCTTCCCAGCTACTCCTATTACAGTGTGCATTTGCTTCATTTAAATTTTGTTAAGTGATGATGAATGAATGAATGAATGAATGTACAAGGGGTAGGCCTTCTCGGCCCTTGCACCACCACCTACAGTGGTCCATGATGTGTATTTGTACCAACCATCTTACAGTGCACACAATTTCACTTTTCTCCTCACTACATGTTTCGGCACTAATGTGCCATCTTAAGGTGTGGTTTTATTTACGTCAAACCATTGCACTGTATGCCATCATGTCTCCTATATAAAATTAGATTTATCATCTATATGTCGCACTTAAAATTCACAAGTTATGTTGATCTTCTCCTATGGGAGTACTCTTCCTATATTCTTGTATATATTGTGTGCTGTGTTGTGTCCTTCCCTTGTGACTCTGTGCGTTGTACTGCTAGATATGTGGTCTATTGTGCTAATGTTTGGTGATACTAGTAAAGTGAAGTAAATTTATCTCTGTGCTTAATTTAGCACTTAAAATGGATCTTAGAGAGATAGGATTGGATGGTATTGATTGGATTGATCTGGCTCAGGATAGGGACCGGTGGAGTGAACACGGTAATGGACCTTAGGGTTCCATAAAATGTTCAGAAGTTCTTGAGTAGCTGCAGAATTGGCATATCCTCCAGAAGGACTCAGCTCCAGGAGTGAGTGAGTAAGCTTAATTAAGCACCATCACATAAAGATGTATGAGGGAGTGGATGTACAGCTCCATGAATTTTTAACCTTAGCACTATATGGGAGTAAGTGGTTAGCTTCATGCCTTGGTCACTTTATCCCCAGGGCAATAGCCCCTGGTATCCCTTTGATAAGAGAATTGTTGAGCCCCAGAGCTGGCCTCAAAGCTGTGGAGAAGAGAAAAATCTTCCACCTATCAGGAATCAAACCATGATTCCTTGGTCATTCAGCCCTTAGCCTAGTCACACTGCCAAAGCTAAATACGTGTGTCAGTATGGGCACATTCATAAATGTGTGGCACCGTATAGTCCACAACCTGACATTCTGGAGGAATAGGATTGCCTCCGTCTTCAGGATTGAAGATCAGACCGAGCAAATAACGAGATCAGCTTACCGCCTGCTTCCCACTGGTTTTATGCTTCGCTTAATCTTTGACCCTGAAGCTGGAGGCACTATGTTCCTCTGAAACGTCAGAATTTCTCTGAACTATGTGGCAGTACTCTTCATAGTCACTGCTGTGAGAAACTCAGATCCAATAAAAATGAGTTACGCAGTTCATGACTCTACTAGTACCTGAAGCTACGTGTGTCGTATATACGCTCACAGGCCGACAGATGGCACAGGAATTCACGAGAACTGACTTTTTTTCAGTTTCTATTCAACTGAATGGTAATCAATTCAAGAGAAATACAGTAAGAGGAAATAACAGCTTTTTAACCATAGGTAAATACACCCATTTCCTTTTCAATAACTTCTCGTAAAAAAAAGGTACAGGTAAAAGTATCCCTGTAACAGGCCATGGAGGCCCATAGGGTTGTGAGATGTTGAGGCTCCCACATTTTCTAGACAATCGTCTCACAGATGGCGGTAAGGATGTTAGCCTTAAGCGCCGGCCGCCCTTTGTCCCCACGAAGATTCCTGGTACTCATTTCTGTTAAAGGCTGAGTCGACCCCAGGGCCATAGTTCGGCTGGAAGGATTACGTCAATTGAAGAAATTCACCTCATCGGAACTCGAACCCGCGACCTTCCGGCTTGGAGCATGGTGCTCCCCATAACTTCTTATGAATATGTAACAATCAAGAGGATTTGTCATGTGAGGCCGAAATGCAATATGATTAACATCACCAGTGAAGATGCTTCCAGTTCTGGGGGTCAAGGTATAATAATATCAATTACTGTCATTTAGTGATTAATCTTTGTGCATAGTTTCCAATAGAGCCTCACAGTGTTAAATTTGTCAGGCTGTTTCCTAGCTCAATACTGTTGTGGTTTTTATAAACACCGACACATGAGAGTGCTTGTATGGAGTTTAGAGGTGGCTGCCTGATATATGTCTGTATTAAATTTCACATGTGAACTTCAGTGGTGCATTAGTTAATGCTTTCAAAAATATACCAGCTTCCTCATCCTGTAC